ACTGCCTGCTGACACCGAGTGGCTGCCCTTCCATGCCTTTGACAGCGGGTCCAGTACGCTATCATGGCCGCGTTAAGTGCACCTCCCATGTTGTCGTGTCTTGGCAACCAGTGTACTTTTAACCAATCGTATGCATTTATTGAAGTATTTATAACCAATGAACTGTGTGTGACCTGTAGTATAATTTGGGGAGGTTTTGGTTGTACCTCATGATGCAATTTCTGGCGCATCGGCTTCGACATGATAAAAACGAACCCTATCCGGATGCGAAATGATCCGGAAATGGTGTTTGCGGAGACCTCCAGTCCCCAATAACGTTAGTTTTTACTATTGTGCTTTGCACTTGTTTTGGCGTCGGTTTTACGTGGCTAAAAGAGTGGTACATCTGCTGTAACTGTGTTACAAAGTTGAATAAATATTAATACCTGGTGTTTTAGCTAATTCACTGGGGTTTTATAAATACCTAATAACTCTGAGCAATAATAATCACATGTGATGCTGAAGTGACCAAAACACCTTGGCTGTTATTCCATCGCGTAGTACGCGCTACCTGCATGTACTATGCGATGGAACAAGAAGATGGCGTGGTTTTCTACGATGTGGCACCATACGTATATCGCTGTACGGTACAAAACAGGCGCATGTCCTCGCTGTGTGTCATTTGTAATATCAAAAGTTGTTCGTGGTGACCAGTGAATTGTGCAATTTGGTCCCGAGAATAGCAGATATAACTTCGATTTGCACTTTTCAAATGTGCAAAAGCGAGGGAGTTGCATAAATGACCTCCCTATAATTACATTCTGTAACGAAACGTGATCCTAATTCACTGTACGGATTATCTAAAACACTGGGGTCGATGTAACAAACACCCAGGTTTGGTTTGGTTTATGGTGTGAATAGCCAAAACGAGTGAAATGCACAATACGTAGTACTAGTATTAATAATAGTACTGTAATGCTGTTACGATGCGCTAGCCGCATGGCTTTCTAATAATAGCCACTTCTCTCTCAAAATAGAGCGCTAATTTTGGGGTCGCGATTGACTTGGCATTTCATTGCGCTTCTTTCATTGCCGTAGGCCATGCTTGGGCGTTCTTGGGTAGGTCGCGCTTTATTGCTCCTTCTAGGCCCTTTCCATCAAACCACCGATGCGCATGGAACACACATCACATCTTTCGAAGATGGTAAGGCTAACTATATCTGGCAAGCATGGCGTTTGGAGCATAATTGTGTGTCTCGTAGTGTTGTCGTCACAACCACACGTTCACGACTTTGCCGTTGTGAGCTATGTGTCCGTTACAAGTGCCGATGGTGTCGAGTCCCTCGCGCCCAACGCGCCGTACCCGTCATCGTTGCACGTTCACTTTCGCACGAGCCACGGCATGGACGTGAAGTTTGACGTTCGACTCAAGCGCAACTTGTTCGCCGCTGACTCGTTTGTGTGGGCGCACGACGGTCCAGAGCTCGCGCTCCTCAAGTCGCACAAGCCGCATCACATTGCTTACGAGGGGACATTGCCCCTTGGGTACATCCGCCTCACAATGTTTGACCGCCATACGTTCCATGCAACGATAAAGTTGCACGACAAGATTGTGGTCGTGGACCCCGTGGAGCACCACAAGAATGCCCACCAATTGACGTCGCCAGTGACTGGTATGGTGGCGTACTCGATCCCACTAGAAGCTGCGACGCTGTCGAACGAGCACCATCGCCAGTTAACGTCGACGTTTGGCCGAATGGCAACGTGCACGTGGAGTGCGAGGCAAATCACGGTCGGGGTCGTTTCCGACGCCGGGTTTACGTCTGAACATGGTAACACTCCACCATCACCATCATCCTCGTTGAAAGGTAGTTTAAAACGGAGTGGCTCGTAGGAGGGGCCGCAAAGACTCAAAGCTACCTAATTGCAGTGTACAACTCTATCAACGGACTCTACGACGACCAAATCGGCGTGCACTTGACCATCGGGGCGTTCCTGATTGAAACGGCGGCGGGGGGGGCGGCATGGAACGTAGAGCCGCAAACGTGTGGCGCCATGGTCGATATGAATGTCCAGCTCAACGCTGTCAAATCGTACGTCAAATTGCACTATGAATGCAAAGGCTAACAACTTGGCCCGTCATTTAGGTGGGTTGCTGCAGGAGAAGATGTGCCCCTGTGCAATCAAGAAAACTGTGGGGTGTGGCACCTGCACACTAATTGCGACGCGGACCGCACTCGAACGGGGAATACCGCGGGGCTGGCGTGGGTGGGCACTCTGTGCAGCAGCAGCATGGGCTACAACACTGGCGTGTCCATCGACGCCGGTGTCAATACGTGGATCGTTGTGGGCCACGAAATCGGCCACAACTTTGGAGCAGACCACACGTTTGCAGAAGGCGGGATCATGTCATACGACTGGAGTACCCCCACCAAGTTTTACGATAACGGCCAAGTGTGCTCGTTTGTGCAAAGTGTCTTGGACAAGTGTTTGAAACCATACAGTTCCGACGGAGCTGCCACAGCCAGAGCTACCACCACCACAGCCAGACCCACCACCACAGCAATCACAACTGCTCAACTAACGACCACCACAGCAAGACCAACCACTACTACCTCCGCCGGTCCTGCCACGACCACTACAACGACGACACCTTTGGCCACTACTTCGACTTCCACGCCACTACCACAAGTGGATCCATGTGCATGCTCGACTGAAAACCTGTGCCGCGAGGTATACCGCCCTGGCTGCCAAACGTTTTTGGACAAGCGATATTGCTACGTTGTTGGCTACGACCAGTGTGCTCGTGCGAAGCCATCGGTGACATGCACCAACGCCAACGGCAAGACGCTGTACTATCTAGAGTTTGATGGCGTTTGCCCCACACTGGTGCCTTCACCAAGTCCAAATACCCCCCCAGTTACTACTACTCCAACCACTTCAACCCTAACTCCAACCACTACAACCCTAACTCCGATAACTACAACCCTAACTCCAACCACTGCAACTCCCCCATCAAGTACTACTACTATTGTCCCAACCACCACCACAACCCTAACTCCAACAACTGCAACCCCCACCACAACTACAACTACTGTTGTCCCAACGACCACCACCTCTTCCGCCCCTACACCCGCCAATACAACGCTCATTCCCACACTTTCAAACTCAACGCCCCCAACAACGATAACCAATCCGCCTACCACGACGGCTGCTTCCTCCGACCCATGCAGTTGCTCGACAGACTCCAAGTGTCCAACTATCGCAGGTGGTGGCTGCCAATCTTTCCGCGGTCGTTCGTGGTGCTACGTCCAAGACCCGACAAAGTAAGTCATCAGACATAATTTTTCGAGTTTTATAGGGTTGTCGTAGATGTGTGGGGGCAGCGTACTACGATTCTATGGATTGTGTGGGTCAAAAGTACATGCAGTGCAATGGATCGACCAATACATTGTTGCCACCGCCCCCGAAAGACCCTTGTGCATGCAGCACGACTGTCACATGCCCCAGCGTCAGCACCCAGCCTGGCTGCTTCAAATCTGACCGGACCAGCTACTGCTACGTCCAGGACCCCACCAAGTACGCAACCACTCCACACCCTGACTCGATCCTCTGACGTGGCATGTTCTAAGGTGTTTCGGACCGTCGATTCGATCGTCGTCAGTGTGTGCTCGTGAAAAACTGCGCCGATGTTCGTCCCAAGACAAGTCGGCGACGCATTGGATTGTGAATGAATGGTCCAAATGTTCTGCGCTCTGCGGTGGCGGAGTCAAAACTCGCACGGTGGCCTGCATGGACCAAAAGGAGATCATTGAGTTCACAGACTCATCATGCTCGACGCCCAAGCCCGTCTACACGCTCGAGTGCAACGTTCGGTCGTGTCCTGTGACAGCGTTCAACAACACCACACCGTGTGCTGGCCCGCCTCACTCCACGTGCAAACCTCGATCTCGCAAGCGACTTTGCGATTGTGCGTGCAATTTGGGCTACATTTACCACCCCCGTCGTCGCGAGTGTGTGCCGCTTCCAGCGATGGAGATGCTGTCGGTGAAGTGCCCGGAATGCGCAGGGAATGTTCGCGGCCCACTGAGCTTTGAGGTTCGCTCTCATGACATCGATCCACTGGAGCCCCCTGTGTGTGACGGTCAAGACGACGGTGGCACAGTCACCGTCACTGCGTCGTGGCTGGTTGCGTTCGAGCCAGACTCTACGACAACCTCGGGTGATAGTGCCAGCACCAGTGAAGGAACAACCAATGTAGCGATGATTGCCATCGCCACGTGTATTGCTGCGATCGCACTCATCCTTGTGGTGCTCGCGTATCGCCGCCACACTGTCCTTCAACCCGCCACGCAGCATCAAACCCCCGTCTACATTGTAGGATCCACCCCCGGAGCCATGCTTTAACTTTATATCTCAATGAATTTTTGTTTGTGCCATCTCGTTTCGTGTAGTTGTATACTGTACCAGTATACGTATACTATTGTAGGGACTTTCCATGACCGTATCTCAGCCGTTTGAAACTCAATTTGTATGAAACAAAAAATAAAGTAACTTGAGATAAAATACAGCGACTTTTCGTTTGAATTTGATCTCACGAAAGCTCTCAAAACAGACACTCAAAACACTCAATTGAAACTGATCCAAGCGAACGGAATATTAATTATTTTTGTTGTTTTGATTGGCTAAGACCGGAGAATCAGATGACAAAAAATATTAAAATACACAGTATAACCATTGAAGTAATGTTTAACCTATCATAATTTAGAGGAATTTCGATGTGTGCAATGCATATCTGCACCTACGCACTGTTTCCTTTATCTTACTGTTAACTAACTGTAAACTATTGAAGTTAAATTCGAAACAATATGTGCTAACAGTAAATGTAGCAGATGACGTAGAGAATTTGGCAGTGTATTTTTGTCTTTAAACGGATAATTCTTTCATATTTATATTATGAAATCCATCTGTCGTGTATATTCCCAATTGGCCAATGGAAAAACGACAAATTCATCTGACAATGTTTTGATTGGTCAAAGTTCTGTCAAGGTACAATTGTAAAGTAAAGGTATTAGAGCTCTTTCGAAAGAAGTCGAGTTTAAGTTCGAGTTTGAGATTCACGAAAAAATATTCAAACTAGAATTCAAGAAATACAAGCTTTTCGAAGCCAATCAATTCGAGTTTGAGAATGCGTATTCGAAGTCAAAAGAGGCTCAAGTCCATAATTCAAACTCCCACCATAGAGCTGAATAGCAACTCGCAGCACCCAACAGAGGACGATACCTTAGACGCCCTTTACGAGGAGCCCGGAGCTTACGCCGGTTCGACGCGGAAGTCGTTTGGTTGCAGCGACGACATCACACTCCTGATCGCAGTCAACGACGCCAAGCCCTGGACAGCCTCGTCTGGGTCGCTCATGAAGACATGGACGGACATAGCAAGCGACTTCAAGGCAAACTGACGTTTTAAGGTGGCCAAAGACAGGCAAGGCTGCAAGACCCGCTTCGACAACCTGACAAAGGCGTACAAGGAGCATACTCTAGCCGCAATGCCCCGAAGCGGTTCGGATAAAGAATTTGGCGAATGCGAGCAACTTTTGGAGGATATTTTGTCACAAGTTAACGACTTCGTGGAGAAGAAGGACACCCAAGCATCGCTTCTTGCATCGAAGAAGGACGGCATCGAGGAATCTGGCGTTATGATGCGCAAATTGGCGATGGAGTCGATGGATGCCATAGATGGAAGCGAATCGGGCAAGCGCACAAGAGTGGTCGACTTTTTGCAACACATTACGACCGCAGTGGACAACGTCACGGGTAAAGACCCAAGTCTCAAGATGGTGACATCATTTCTCAAAGACCGGCTCGAACAAGAAGACTTGCGTGAAGAAAACGTTCGCGTCGGCAGGATGGGCGTGACCGTAAGCAGCATGAACGCGATCTTGCCCGTGACAAACAAATGCAGGAATTTTTGTTAGCACAATGCAGAAGCGTTAAGTCAACATTATGTGAAAATATATCTGCTTAATTTGGTTAATGAATGGAATATACTACCGGTAGTATTCAATAATACCACTTTAACAATCATGGTACTACTATCGAGCATCGGCAATATTTACAAATTGTATTACACTAGACCAAGGTATTCATCAATACTCGGCGGGTCGAGATCAAAGTACATGCTAATTTGGTTGCCCATGGGTTGCATGCAACAATGACAGTTGGTGAGAAGCGCCGCGACGTAGAACAGCTTCCCCACAGGGGTTCTGCGCACCTACATCTTCTTGGAGTCAAAGACGAACGGCAAGAGGATCTTGAGCCGACCAAAACTCCATTTGACGGCTTCCCGCACCTTGCGCATTTGAGAGGTGAACCGACGTTGTCTGGTGTCGGTCCCAGCGAGCGGAAACGGACAAATAAAGAATTGATTGCATCCGTAGACGGGGTCACCGCGTCCGTCGAAAGTCCTGTCCCGTCCGAGCGGAACATGTCAAGTATTTTGCTGTAACTGAGAACTGTGCTGTCGTGTCGACGTCCCTCGACCGGTCCATAAACACTTACAATAATGCTTCGCGGGTGCCCATTGTACGCCGCCCGCTGGAGATTTTCGTTCGGGGCGTGAACGTTTAACCGAGGAGTTGGGTTAGCGACAAATTGCTTGGTTCCTAACGATAAATATGATATAAATTAATTATGCGAAATGTATAACTGTAAGTAAAGTTATTTCAAATCAAAGTAGATACTTCGAAGTAAATCGTTCAGATGACAATCAAGATTTCCATCAATAACAATAACTATTGTATATACTTCAGACAACAATCAAAATTTCCATCAATTTTATTTCCATCAATGAACCCCAACAATTTTGGAGGGGTGCTCCCTTCGTCTTGACAGCCTGGCAATATCGCTCCATTCGTGAACGGAGAAGGCCGTCGCTCATGTACAACAAGTCAGCATGGACCTTGTATATCATGCGCGCAACACACAGCACAATGCGACTAACAGCGGCTTGTGAACGCCCGAACTCGTTGGCAATCGCGTGTAACTTCGACGGCTCCGCAAAGCGACGACATAACATGGCCAGGGATTCCAGTACTCGAACGTTATCTCCTGCAGGCATAACGACGGGATCGGGAAGTCAAAGCTTAGCAGTGAGAAGGGCAAGCTGGTCAATCGTGAAGCGGTAGAGCTCAATCGCTGTTGGGCTGTCCAGCGTTGTGTTGAACTGATTAGTGTGCTCTATTAGAGGTGATTTTTTGGATCCTATGGGTTTGGTTCATTTTGATTGGATGCTAGTGTTTTTGGTTAATTGAGTTTGGATTATCCTTTTTACTGTTAAGATATTCCTCCCCGAGGGCGGACACTTGAACCACATGTTATGGAACCGCTGCGCCAATTGTAACGCGCCTGCTCAACCAGGGGCGGTGTGTAATCTTCGGTTTTTACTTCGCTCAACGCTTACCTCGTGCTTCGACCGAGCTTCTTCGAAGTTCGGTCCTCGTCTTCGTACGCGGCCTTGTTATCCGGATTCCCAAGGGGAGGGACGGATAAATTCTTGTGGAAATAATCCGGGGAAGCCGGGGATCGAACCCAAGACCTTTGAGTTAAGAAACCGATGCTCTCCTGCTAGAGTTTTTGGTTTTCCTAGCAACATTTGCTTAGGGCTCCCCTGGATACCACGCCATAAAAATATGCCACAACTCGAAATGAGATTTTACAAAATTTGTACAATATACAAACGCAGTACAAAAAGAAGAGATGGTGAAACCGTCTGGGTTCATCCGGATTCAAACTTGCGCGCCAAAACGATGGTCACGACCATGATGATCCTGCTTCGTCGGCGGCGCCTCAAGCGACGTCGCATGATGTTGATGTCATACCTGGTCTACCACTACTCCGCCTACCTCTTGAAGACGTCGAAGCGGGTCTCCATCTTGTCGGGGGCTTTGTGGGTTGCCGAAATACTACAAGGAAACGAGGATGCCTTCGAGGACGGGACATGTCGAATGTCCCGTGATGCGTATGGTGGACTGCTGCACGATCTCGCTCGTCGTGGTGGTCCAAACGCCCATCTGTGTGCTGTGTGGTTGCTGCGGTTTTCGAAATGCGCCGTTTCGACAGAACATTGATGTTGAAGTGGTCACATGGACTGTCTTTACATGAGAATTTGACCATTTTGGTCCATTTTTTAATACCATAATTCTTGAACTTTCTTGCTATAGTTTTGTAATATTTCCTTTGGATTTTGTGGTATCCAGACGAAACGACAGGGGTGTTTGCCGATGAAATTTCGGCAAACGCTGTGTTTTACTGCAGTGCTACCCGATAAACTAGGCCATGAGATGGCGGTGCGTTATCCTTGCCCAGGTGCTCTCAAGTAGTTGACGCAACGCGAAGTTAGTTTAACGTTGGCACATCCACGGTAGTGCCGGTAAGAAGACGGTTCCGCACCGTGACGCACATACGGAAGTCACTTACCTGCTATTTGGGGCGACGGTGGTGGGCGGTGGAGTGGGTCCATGATGGAGGACATTGTGGTGTGGCCGCGGTGGCGGGCAGCGGGGCAGTGATGGTGGACGGCTACTGTGATGTCCACTGATGTACATACACTAAGTGTTTTCGATCGTCGAGTCGAGGAAACGACTGGAGGAGCGCTATACTGCGATGTCCTCTACCGTCGCTGTACTCCACAGTCCGCTGCCGTCGAGTTGGCCGTTTTGTCCATAAGACGGTGCCGCATCTTGACGGACGTACAGCACCTGCGAGTCACTCCTCAAGAATTTGCGACGGTCGAAGACGTGCAAGAATTGCGGTGGTCAGTAGTGTGCAGTGGTGGCAGTCCATATGGTGCCTGCACTTCCTTTACCATAGGTCCACGCTACTCTCCGTTCACCAGCTTCGCTGCACTCCACCGCCTTTCCCCCGCAGATTGCAGTGGCGGCGGGCGGTGGAGTAAGCGATGGTGGTGGACGGAGAAGTGCTGTAGAAGGGCGTATTGATCGTCGCTGCACTGGCCTGCTGCTATCTGGGCGACTGCGGTGGTGGAGTGTAGGACTGCATCGATGATGAAGGTAGTGTGGTCGCCGCAGTGGACAGTGGAGTGTGACGATGATGGTGGAGGGCCACTGTGGTGCACCGATGCGCTATATTGCGATGTTCCATGGGTCCCCACCACATCACTTCTCCGTTCACCATCTTCGCTGTACTCCACCGCCCGCGACCTCGCATTCGCACTCGGCGGGTGGAAGGCAGTGCAGCGCAACGATGATGGTGGACGGAGGTGTGTTGTAGAGGACGTCCTTTGTCGTCGCTGCACTACACTCTCCTCTGCGGCCTCTACAGTGTATTGCGATGTGGTCTTCCGACGCTGTACTCCACTGTCTGCTGCGACCGAGTGAAACGGTGGCTTCAATTCCATGCTTTGTCCCTTGCACCTATAATTACTGAAACAACGTGTTCTATTTCGCCAAGGAGATGCGGGAACTGGCGAAAACTCATCATAACACGAAGTTATGGAAGGCCAAAAACGAGGCATTCATGGTTGGCGAGAGCAAAGTCTGGAGTTTCATCACAGTCATCCTTCTTGTTGGAGGCTGCTGAGCTGACATTCTTTCTACAGGTCACTGCAATTGCGATGCGTTGCATTCAGAAATTCGCGTCGTTTCACTTTGAAAACTGACCAGTTCCGGATATTTCATTACTTTAGCGGATGCAATATTTTTAGTGTGCATGTTTTTGTGGTACTCGAGCGACATGTCTTATGCGCATATGTCGAAAAAGGACGAACTTTGATGACGCTTTTCTCGAGCTGTGTAATACTAGACAGTCCATTACTAGCTCAGCCTATACAGCATCGCTGACATGATGCATCTTACCCGCATGTACATGCTTGTTCTTAAAATACGACGAATTTGTCAAGTTCGAAGTTGTCGTTCTCTACAGTTGTTGATTCAGGCGACATGCAATAGTAACGTTATTGGTTAATTGAGTTTGGATTATCATAGTAACGTTATTGGTTGTTGTTATGAGGAATGGAGAGTTGCGTGACCCGTTGTGAAGTATGCATTGAGAAATCTCTGACCTGCATCGCGTCTTTCCCGCTTGACTCGCACGTGACAACTTAAATCAGTTGCATGTATCCCCTCCAAAATGTACACCCTGGTTTGAAGGAATCAAGGACCTTTAATTCTTCATAGTGATGTGTTTGTGTCCTGCAAGTCCCAATTGACAGATGCTTCGTTTTAGTCAAGTGCAACCTTGAAGTACAAAACGTTCAATCGTTAAAGCTACTAAAACCACTGGCAGAAATGTTGAAAAGCACAATACAATGCTAAACTGTAACCTGGTCAAAGCACATGAGCAGTCTTGGCCACGTTGTACACTAACGTAGAAAACCAATTTAAGGTGCTCGAACCATTTAATGACACTTGAATCAGCCAATCAAATGTAGTCAAAATACTGGGAGATAACCTCCTTAATCTAATAGACCAAGTGAATTTTGGCGTCTTGTTTTGTTTTGTTACAACTGTATAATTGTATTACCTGTCTGGATTAAATATTTAACTGCCGAAATTGCATAACCTAAGCACACAAAAAATATGCAAATAGATATACAAATTTAAAGATAATAGTGTGCACCATTAACTGGTTCTCACATTTTGAGTACATTTGCTTCAAAAATAGCATATATGTCTGTCAAATAGACCTTGAAACACGATTATTTGAATGTCCAATCAATCACCACCACTTTGGCCTCATCCAGCACTTTTCGGAATTTGAATCCATGCTGAGAGACCATGAATTTACAACTGCATTTCAAGAATCTACAATTACAGAATCCAGACTCTACAACTTCAACTTATCCACATGTCGCATACGTTACCATGCACCGATCGATTTCCAGCTTCGTACGCATTTGCCCGTACTCTTGTAACCCCGGAACCCCGAAACCCCTTGTGTTTCATATAATGCGTGCCCCTAAGCCACTTATATGTTCGTATAATGCTGTTCCCGGGTACATAAGTGTGTGTAGTTGACATACCGATCAAACTGGCCCTGATATTCAAAGCATACAAAGTTGAAGTATAGAACTTGTAGTCATGGATATTTTTGCCAGAAGTTGTAGATTCTTGAGAGAAGTTGTAGATTCTTGAGAGAAGTTGTAGACTCTAAAAAGGCGCTTGTATTTTCTATTTATCACATCCATGCTGAGCTTCCGTTCCTTCCACGGCAGCGTCTCGGAAAAAGTGTTCTTGCAGTTATTGTCGATTTGATACAAATTTGGGGAGGGGGTGCAATGAATCGCGCCGACCACCCCCGATCCACAATCGATCTGATTGGTTGAATTTCATTTAGAAGGTTTTGATTAATTAATAATTTTGAGCTCATCTGAAGTAGCCAATCAAATCGATTTAAATTCCAACGAGAAACCACGCCACAACACGAAATTTCACTCGAAAGCACAATAACAGTAATTTGGTTTTCTACCTTACCGCTATCTAGAATGCTCCATTCCGCCCTCGTTCTCTTGCAAAATAGCTTTAAAGTACACAAATCTGCCCTGCGGGGCTGGTCGCTACGTTCCGGGTCGCTGTACTCCATATAACACACGTACAAGTACCGGAAAATGCATACTAGTATTGAATTACAATGTATCTAGTCGCTTCCTACGACGAACCTCTTGGAGTAGACGAGCGTACGACTTGGTAATCCAGAATGTGCCACTTCAAACTGGTCGTACGATTGGTACTTCGTGAATGTCATTCATTGCCAAGGTCAGACGCTATGAGTACTTTCTTCCGATCGAGTCTAATCATGTCACTGTTGGGTGTTGAGCTCAGAGAGACATCCAATGATATGTTCGGATGACGAAAAAAACGGACGAAAGGTAGTGAGTGCCATTCATTCTGGAGAGTGGATGTAGTGAAGGGGTGGTCCACAGTGATTACAAGTCATATGTCAATTCGTATGGAATCACCACAGGCAATTCAAGTCGTCTTGCTCCCTGAGACGTTAGCCTTAAAGTGGAGAGGTGGCTGCTTTTCATGCGCAGTAAGCTGGTGAAATGGATCCGTTATGTCATGTCACAAAAATTCCACGCATGGTAGCAGAATACCTCTTTGAAAGGTACTTGGTCGAAGTATACTTTGTCATGTTGGGGAATGAAATGATTTATCGAATTGATTAATTGAGTTTGGATTATCATTTTTAAGACATTCCTCGGCGAGGGCCGATACTAGTGATTTATCGAATTGATATTGCTACTAGTACTAGAATACCAGCACTGTTGCGGTCGTACAGTACAAGCAAATTTGATCACCCGAATCTGCGTACGTTTTCACCGACTTCCCACTTGTACTGCATAGTATAGTTAGTATGTAGTGGTTGCACTACATGTAGTATATTTATAGAGTTAGTGTAGCTGGATCGTCAAAAGTACACTGACTTCGCGTAATCTTTCTAGCTTCCCAAATCTTAATACCGAAATGTATACTACTGTACTGTAGTACGATTTTGTAAGGTTTATTATACGGGCTCTCACCAGCTGCAATTCCAGCTGACATTGTGAAGTCACGAAGCTTGAAGTTTTACGAATGTTCACATACCGATACCTAATTCTACGTTCGCGAATTCGGGCGGCTAATTCGGTAAAGATACATGCTCCTACACTGCTCCAACTCCCGAAAGCCACATTCCGCCCGACTACTGCCCCATTTCAATGGTAACGTTATAAGGCATCGACTCGCGCTACTAAACCAGATAGATACATGTTGCACAGTCGCCCTTGCATTTGACTGTCGAAACATCGGAACTGACAGCTGTGAGTTGTCTCAGCCAAGGTTGGTGTCTCCAGGGTACGATACAAAAGCCAATTTTGACGAGAAAAATGCATCTCCGAGCGAAATTCAAGCGCCTCATACAAATGTTGAACGTGATAAACAGAGGCTTCAACAATTTGGCCTGGTTCTTTCGTCAGGTCGGGGTCCTCACTTTTGAATTTGCCTGTTCCTTCCTCCATGGCGGACAAAGTTGCGACCCCCGTTATCGGTGTCGGCGGCGGCTACAAGTCCGTGTGGGACGCCCGCCCCGTCAAGTACACCAACGTCATCATCCAAGTGTGCGGGTTCATCTTGCTGATGGAGCTGTCCGAACGTCTCAGTTACTATGGGATCAACCAAGGATTAAAGAATTTCATGGGGAAGAAATTGAATTGGTCCAGCGTCTCGTCCAACAGTATCAAGAGCACGTGGACGTCGCTCGTGTACATGTCTCCGTTGCTTGGTGCGTACATGGCCGACGAACGTTGGGGCCGCTTCAAGACGATTGCTGTGTTCGGCACGGTATACATGATCGGTGATATACTGCTTGCGATTGCTGCGCATCCCAGCGTTTTGTCGCTTGACGGCAGCACCAAGACGGCGCAAGCCATCTTCATCGTGGGGTTATTTGTGTTTATTGGGATTGGTACGGGCGCGATCAAGTCGAACGTGATTACCCTCGGCGCCGATCAGTTCAACCCCGACGATGAACGTGAAAACGCCCAGAAGGTCACGTTCTTCAGCTATTTCTACTGGAGCATCAACGTCGGGGCTGGGTTTGCGTACGGATACCTGGCCACGTTGTGCGTCAAGGGGTCGGGTGACTTCATCCCCAAGGAATACGGATACTTTGCCACGTTCACCATCTGCGCGTGCGTGTTCATCTTAGCGCTGGCGTTTTTCTTCCTCGGCAGTTCCCGGTATATCAAGATTGCCCCCAGCTCGAATGCCATGTCCAAGCTCGTCCATGTGCTGCTCGCCAGTTCGTCCAAGAGTACCGCTGCCCGGTACACTGTGTTCGGCTTCATCGCGTTCATCTTGTCGTTCTTCTTGAACTTGCTCGCTGTGTTCTTGACGGACAGAAGTGACGAGCGCCTCGCCATGAGTTATGTGGCCGGCGGGGTGTCGCTGATCGGGGTGTTGATGTGGGTGTGGTTTGGTCGCCAATACGACAACATGAGCCTCGCTAAGGAGTCCGAAGGCGGCAACCAGGACGACTTGTCCATCGACGAGATCAAGCTCGTGGTGCGCGTGCTCCCGTTCGCTGCGTTCAACGTCATGTGGCAGTGCGTGTACGATCAAATTGACGCCAACTTCCAGACCATCGCGCAGCAAACCGACTTGCGCTTCGGCAACGAACGCGATGCCACGCAACTGCCCGGCGCCGTGCTCGGGGTGTTCGACCCCATCGCCATCGTGGTGCTCATTCCGTTCCTCGAGACGGTCGTCTACCCCGTCTACAAGAAGTTCTCCGGCAAGGAAGCGTCCGCGTTCGGCAAAGTCGCGGCGGGGTTGATCCTGTCCACGTTCACCATGTTCTACTCGGGTGGGTTTGAAACCGTCCGCCGCAACTCCGGCGTCCTCCTCGTTCCCGCGAGCGCCACCAACAGCACCCTCGACGTGATCCTCGACGCGAGCTCCGATCTTCCCATGAACGACATCGCATGGGGCTGGTGCATCCCCATGTACGTGTTAGTCGCGCTCTGCGAATGCCTCATCAACGTGACTGCATTCGACGTGTTCTACACTGAAGTGCCGTCGTACCTCAAGAGTACCTGCCAAGCGATCAACTTGTTTATGGTGTCCATGGGGTCCAACGTCACGAGTATCTTCACGCTAGTGTTCCAAAAGTACATCCCCGACGACTTGAACGACGGCGGCAACTTGGAGTACATGTTCTACGGCGTCGGCATCGTGTCGCTTGTCAACTTGATCGCATACCTGGTCGTGATGAAGCAAATGCAGTTCGGCATGGCCTCGTCCAAGCGCGGCGCCGACGTCATCGAAGCTGCTGCCCTCGAAAACAAGGAGAGCCACCTCGCCGATGCCGAGAAGGCGCGCTTGAGCTATGCCTAAGCTTTTTATTGTTACATAACATGTATTATGAATGTCTTTGCGTCATTATTATTCCTAAGCTTACTGTATTACTACTACCTTGGTAGTACAAGTTGTGTAATAGCTTGGTGGGCACAATACATGTGTTGGAACATACATACGTCAGTTTGTAATGGACTTGGGATCCTAGGTGTCTAGAGCGAGGAAAGGGGTACAGTAGCACTGAGGAGGGACGAACGACGAGGAACTCTTGTGTGGTCGAGAACAAAACCAAAAGTAACGAACTGCTTAGCTGACCTATGATTGGGCAAAAACAGTCCAACTTGTACAGAAAAAGAACACCGGATAATTCCGGATGACCTGACCCTTGGATAGGGGCATGGTGCAATCAAAAGGAGTTGCGATGAGCTTTGACGTTGACTTGTCAAAGCGATCAAGTACTGTAGAACAATAACGAGATTGATGGATGTACAGAGCTCGGTTAATTGAGTTTGGAATATCATTTTTAAGACATTCCTCCGCGAGGGCCGACACTAGAACCGCATGTTATGGAACCGCTTCGCCAATTGTAACGCGCCTGCTCGATCAGGGGCGGTGTGTAATCTTCGGTTTTTACTTCGCTCAACGCTTCTTACCTCGTGCTTCGACCGATATTCTTCGAAGTTCGGTCCTCGTCTCCGGATTCCCCCAGGGGAGGGACGGATAAATCCTTGCGGAAATATTCCGGGGAATCCGGGTATCGAACCCACGACCTTTGAGTTAAGAAACCGATGCTCTACCACCTGAGCTATTCCCCCCCATGTACAGAGCTCGGTTGAAACGGTCACGGATGATTTCCCAGTCGAGAATATCTCGAACAAGACATAAGTCCTTCATTTGGAAGCGTACTGATAATGACTCCTTGAGAGCAGCAGCAAGAGCCTTGGTAGGAGTAGTGATCATAAGATCTTCAACGTAGAGACTAATGATGGTAAAACCATCATCTCCAGCTTTGAGAAAGACGCAGCGGTTTTTGTGCAGGCGGGCAAAGTCCAAGGAAGCCATGAAGGTGACAAAACTCCAATACCATAGGCTAGGGGGCTTGTTTGCGTCCATAAAGACTATTTTGAAGCAGTCAGATATTGTCACGCCTAGAACCAGGGTTGATGAGGGGACCAGAAGCTGTTCGATGCGTATAACGCAGTGGTTTTGCTATTTAGAAAGGCGGTTTTGACGTCCATTTGTTCGCATTCCAAAATATGGATGACCGCTAAGGCAAATAGGAAGCGTAGGACTTTAAGTCGAACGAAAGAAGCAAAAATGTCCGTGTAGTTAATGTCTTTTTATTGCATGAACCCTTTGGCGACAAACGGGCCTTATAAGTGCAGTAGAAAGACCCAGCGATCCGGTTGAACCATCTCAGCATAACGACGTTTGACGAGCAGATAAGTGCCGTTGGAGAGTAGAGACTTGTATTCGAACCTGGCGGCTAGAAGCCATTTGTCGCGGTTAGGGCGGGGATGACTTCACGCCAGTCTTTGGGATCGTTGTTGTTGGCACGGTCGGCAAGCAGAGCATATATACAATGGTTTCATAGGAACCGATGTAGGCGCAGAGTTCGCAGGTGGCGCAAGCACAAATGCATGATGCGCATGGTTGTGGTTGGTGTCAAGTGAATCCAAAGGAGTTGTGTCCATGAGAAGGCAACTTGACGTGAGTAATGTCTAATAGAGTCAAGTGTCGTTTTGACCATTGATGGCTGTGTTAAGGCTAAGGTTCATGGACCGAGAAGGCAGACGGGATGAGACCATAGAATCGTCGTGAGGGAGTAGCAGTTGGGTCACAGTCCGGACTGGTCAATGAGAATATGGAGAAGATATCTTGAATTCGTTTTGGTAGTTTCACAGAAAGTGCTGGGATAGGTCGAGACGACGGAGGCTCGGTAGAAAGAACAGGTCGCGGCGAAGCCAAAGGCTTGTCATAGAGTAAGGCATTAGACCTGTTGGTGATGATGGAGTGTAGTGGCGGCAATGGTGCATTGGGTTCCAAGGTTGGGATGAGTGTTGTACTTGGGTTTGATGATGCGCCCGAGTTTCTCGTACTCTTTGGCGTTGTTGCTTTGGAGGGTGCCGATGTCCGTGGGTGGTGAGTGGCGCAGCTCACCAACATCATGTTTGAAAATGGACATCGCGTCCGTACGAAATAATTCGTAGATATCATAGTGATCTTTGCGAAAACGCATGGGGTAGATCCACATAAATCTGGATTAGTCGTCGATAAATACGACAAAGTTGGCAGCGCCATCCGCCGATAGATTCGGACTTGGGCTCCAAACATCAGAGTGTACAAGGGCAAGGTAGGAGGCCGCGCGGAAAACCGCAGATGAGTCAAAAGAACTGCGCTTGGACTTGGCGTAAGCACAAGTTTCACTTAGTTGACCACAAAGCTTTTTGGCCTTGAAGAGCATAAGCTCGGGGTTTGTTTTTGTCATTTAGGTGAAGGCATCAACGCCAGGATGGCCGAGACGGTGGTGCTATAGGCGCGCAAGGCTAGCTGCAGGGAACTTGGAGTCAGCCACGAGGGGGGGGCTGATTAGGCAGGAACAGTAGTGGTGTCATAGACTGGTGTAGGAGTATGTGAACCAAGCATAGCCCGGGTGACACTCATGGAGACGGAGTCTGGAGTGATTGGGCAGAACGGTTTTGGCTTGGAGGCCATAGATGGTCGACGAATGATTGGTGCATAGCGCAACACAGACGAATATGACAAATGTGCAATTGATTGTTAAACGTGAAAAATCCACTGTAGTTCGAGGATAATTTCAGCAGAGCGGTCTCAAAAGCGGCCATCATGCCGGTAAGCATGGCCATATGGCCCGGATAGATTATGTACTCTTCACGGTTCGGATAGGTGGAGGGCTCGCACTTGGGCTAGCATCGAAATGAATATATACAGTCATGGCCCCATTTGTGCACGACCATGATTTGATAAATAAATACAGGTATTGGATTCCAAATGTAAGGACTTTATAAGATCATACAAGTTGACATTAGTAGAGTAAAAAGTCCACCGACACAGATGAGCCCACTCGAAGGCGTTAAAAGGCATCCATCAACGATACTTGAGGTACAATGCCCGAGTGAGCCCAACAATTCCGAATAGTCGTAGCTGACACCTCATTTCAATTCTAAGGGTGCTCGGTTGTCCTTAAGAATGCGCCCAGCTGTGCTTGAGTGGATGAGACATCCAAACTCTTTTTTGGCCCACTCGCACTGCTGAGTTAGGGTCAATGACCCTTCTGGCTGGTTTTTGTAGAAGACACGCAATGTATATTTTTCTTGCAAGGTCAATCTTCTACCACAGGATGGCATTTCGTTTGACGAGGAGCCAATTTTGAATTTCAAATCGATCCTCTAGAAATTAATAATGATAAGTTTTTGGAAAATATTGAATATACCCTGGTGCAAAAATGGGGGCATGACTGTACCCATGGCGAAGCACATGAGAAAGAGTGGTGGTGATTTCACACATGTCGCGAGCCGTAAAACGGACAGAGATGCCGTCATCGGTCGCCTGGCAAACCGAGAACAGATTGAACTGTAGTTGAGGGCACTGTAGGCCAAACGTGAGGCGTAGAGCGCATGGACGAATAACGTCGGCTTGGTCACGAGGCGACATGTCCACAACCAAGGTAATAGGGCCATATCCAAGAACGGGGCGTTGAGCCATTCCCAACTATAAGAGACAGTGCGTAGGGGACGTAGTTGGAGAAATAATATCGGTTGGGGGGTTATGAAGCAGAGGTGCCGGAGTCAACGATCCAAAGTTCTCGCAGAGCGGGAAAGTCGTTTGGACGATAAATTGCCGACATAGGTAGCGGCGGGTCACCGGAGTCGCTTTCACAGTAGCGAAGGTCCGCTTGAAGGACAAAACCGCCTTGTCCACCAATAACTTGGAATGGGGGATGGGGACGGACACCACCCGCACACATATCTTGGGGGCACCTTGATAGGAGTTTCCGATGCCGCAGTAATAATGTCGCTACGAGTGACCGAGAAGGCACTGGGTGGGAACAGTGGAAGATCCACTTTGGTAGGGTTCGCAGAAATTTGGAATAATGGGCGCGGTGGGTAGAGAGGCAAACGCTCGATAATAAGTACCTCGGCAGAAGGGACGTCAGCGAAGTCAAGGTCACCGGTATTCACAGGAGATGGGATGTGGTCGGGCAGCTCGCCGGTGTATCAGTGATGGGAGCGAGGGTAGTAGCCGCAATAAGCGGAGGATCATGGTACGGTGATGCAAAGACATCGCAGAGTGTGGCAGAGCCCGTTTGGAACACCATTCGTATAACCGACAGCTATTTGGGACGCTGAAGGACTCGGTTGAGAGTGGAGGGAGGCACAAAGTCGTGAGAGAGGATGTGGGTGTTGGCATAGCCGTTCAGTCGATTGCCTTCGTAAACAAAAGGACGAGCGGCTGCACGAGCAGCAATGCACTACTTTGTTCACTTGTAAGTTGTGTGAAAACGGATTACGAAGTGTGGCAGTGATTGTTAATTGTACCATTTGATGCTGGGGTCCCATTGGCGTGCAAGGAAGCGTTGGAGGATGGCTGGTGCTAAGACGAACAACCTATTCACTCATTCCCTCGTGCTACGTGTTTATTCGTAGTCGTTGCGTACACAAGTGATGCAAAGTGATTTTTTTTACCAAGTCAATAATCCTGTATACCACCACCAACTCGTCATATAACGATACCCATGGAATCATGTGTGCCTTATGGGCATGTGTCGACTACTGCACCCCTCCAAGGTTAGTGATTCGAGGCACAAGTATGTCAGCCTCATTGTAATTATGTCCAATCAAAACCAAAAAAGGGGAAGTATTACAAAAATACCACCAGTAAGAAATCGAACGTGACAACTACTGGTATTGTGCGCCAGATTATTAATAGTACAGTGTATTGTGAGTTCTAGTCGAATTTTCCATGCTCGATTGGTTCAATCAATCTGGAGGGTGATTTCAGAACCAATCCAAACCTCTGTAATATGATAATATATAAATATAGAGAGGTTCTATGACGTGTTTGAGAGAAGGTGCAATTCAAATTTTGCCGACAGAAGTGGCTCGCCACGAACGACGATACATCCATGGTGGCAACCCCTCAGCGAACACATGATGTGGTGTACACGCTTGAAGGCACTTTGAGCTTCATCGAGATGTGCCACTGGGTGGCGGTCGTAGAACTCGAAGAGCCACTGTCGCTGTGGGGTGGTGAACTTCTTGTCGGCTGCGGTGGTCGCTCGTTCGTACCCGCCAGTTTTTCGTAGACCTTGACCCAGTTGCCAATGGTATGTTCGGACTTGTTGAAAACGAGTGCAAGGTGTCTGCGCGAGAAGCCGAGGCTGTAGTAGGCGAAGAGGCAGTGGTAAACGGTGTTGCTGCCTTTTTGCTGCCTCTGCCATGATCTGCTTGCTGTCTTTTCCAGGAATCAAATGTTGAAGATAGTTTGTGATTGGTTAAGTGTATATTTTTTCTGACGAATCAAAAGGCTCGGTCGATTTGTTGGCACCTTACATCGTGGGGTCAAACCTGCAAGTTTCACCGGAATTCACAACATGTACTTCGAAGTATAATAGTAGCAGTGCTGTAGTAGTACTAGTGATTGGGTATAGTAGTACTACAGTAGTAGTAAGTACGTTGTAGTAATACAATTAGTATGTACTATCAATAGTAGTAGTAACACAGGCAGTGAGTGACTGCCGCTACCTGTCACTTCCTTGTTATCCAAACTCACGATGGCCGCAAGCAGCTTACGCAGCAAGGTCCTCTTCGTGCTGGGTGGTCCAGGGTCTGGGAAGGGCACCCAATGCTCCAAGATCGTGGCCAAGTTTGGCTTTGTGCACCTTTCGGTAAGCACACCCGATATCATCACACTCCTCCATGTCACACACTGATTCCTGCAGGCTGGCGACCTTTTGCGCGAGGAGCGGTCGTCTGGCAGCCCCAACGGCGACATGATCGACCGCATGATCCGTGACGGCGCCATCGTCCCCGTGAAAGTGACGTTGGATTTGATCCGCAAAGCCATGCTCGAAAGTGGCCGCGACTTGTTCCTCATCGACGGGTTCCCGCGCAACTTCGACAACTTGGAAGGGTGGGAGGCCGAGATGACGGACGTGGACGTCGCCGGCGTGCTCTTCTACGACTGCCCCGAAGAAGAGATGGAGAAGCGATTGTTGGAGCGCGGCAAGACCAGCGGGCGCACGGACGACAACATCGACGCCATCCGCAAGCGTTTCACGACGTACCTCGAGTCTACGATGCCCATCATCGAGCATTTTGCATTGAAGGACCAGGTGTTCCGCATCTCGTCCATTCCATCGCCCGACGTCGTCTTCGACGAGACTGCCAAGGTCATCGAGCCCATCGTGAAGCGGCACTTGGTCGACTCGACCCAGGTATAACCACTTAGCGTAATACACTCACGACCCAACGTCCTCCCATCCACGTGCTAGCTAGCCACACTATATTGAATAAAGCAATATATTTTTCAATATATTTCAAATAATACTTTATGGTAGCTAGCTACATGGCTGAAACAACAACTTTCATCTTGTGTTGATTGTTCACTATTTTGGATATTATATTACCAATATTTTGCCATAATGTTACCACTATATATGGCAATATTAGTGGCAACAACCATTCATTGTTCTTGACCGTCAAACCCAATATATATGATGTAGTCGTTTTGACTTTTCGCCGCCCCTTCAATAAGGGAATATAACATTGCTCCTATACGATTACATATATGTAGCGATTGTTGGATGCTGTATTTCAAGGCGACTGGGCCACGTACAAAGTAAGCACTCGTACGCCGTTATAACGAGTCGTTAACGATCTAAAAGGACTTGTGCGACGAGTGTCTGTCCGCCATCGAGCCGCAGTCGATGGGGCATGTCATTGAGGTATGTTTAAGCACTAGTTAGTACCCTACATGCATGTATGGTTGTCGTGTGCAGGGCTTGCAATTCCACGAGTTCTACTTCAAGAACCAAGGCATTGGTGGCTTGGGCGTGTCCAAAATCTGCAAAGTACGAAATCATGTACTTTGATTTAGTGTAGGATATATGTGGTTTGTCTGTACAAGTACTAATGAATTCGTTTGGTCTACGTGATGGCAGTCGAATGTAGTGGACCCGCATGTCAAGCTGTATGGAGACACGGCGATAGTGTCGTTTGCCAATGTAATTCAGGTAATATATTTCCAAAACCCAACGATTGAGGCCAACCTGATGATGTTGATGGCAGTCGCCGACGCAAGAGTCCGTGCTGTACATGGAGACCCGCGTGTGGCACCGCCAAGACGGCAAGTGGAAGAACGTGCATTTTCACCGATCCAGCAAATAACTTCAGGCAACTCGAATAATCCAGCGCCGTTTTTGGACACGACCAATTGGAGTGTTAACACACTTCCTTTGAATTCTGCCATACATGTATATTGTGTGTTCTAATCATCATATTTCCCCTGGCGGTTGGTCGCAGGACCTTGCGAAATACTAGTACTCTGGAGTACTAGAATAACGTTAAAATAAATCGAAGTTCAAGAGGTATCTTTACAGCCAAGCAAAATGCAACCTTCATTATATTTAGCCAATACTACTGTAGTACTTGTATTTGGCGACCATTGAGACAAATCTTTATTTATTTTTAATAGTGTGGTCTTAATAATACTCTGGAGTATTAATAGCTTGTTTTCAAAAGTGTACTGTAGTCTGCAGGGAGTAGTTCTTGTGTACTACTACAGTAACGTTAGTAGGATAGTAGTGCATCGCTAGAGATACTTGTATTATGACAAAGAATTGCTCATCAAAATGCAAAGTCCATACTACAACTGTACCTGGTATTGTGTATTCAACACTAAATTGGACTGGGGAGGCGAATCGAATAGCCTAAACAAAGAGATTATGAATGTCTTAAGCCAATCACATCACTCCATTCCAGAGATTTTACCAGTCTCGTGCCCTGTCGCTTCGGATTGGGTAAAATCAGTCGGGTAAAACATGGAAAATACTTTCGAAATCGCTTTGAAGTTTCGACTGCGAAGTCCAAAGTTCAGTGAAAAGCACAATACTGCTCTTCGGGACCAGAGCAAGTATAACTACTGTGTATACTACTACGTAGTACATATTATATGGTGCGCGTCATCTGAATCCTGTAATTTCTGCAAAAGGTTCAATTCAGGAAATGATAAGCGGTTAGGGGTTATAACAATATTTTAGAGGTTTGACTATAAGATATCAGAGGTTTTGGTAAATAACCTGCGAAACTTCATGTTGCTACCGGATACAGTAGGCATTATCCGGCATACGCGGTCACAAAAATTGGGCGTTTCCATTGTAACTTACAACACATTTTGTCAATTTTGCGAATTTCTGCGATTGGCTTCTAAAGTAACGAACGTTAGCATTGCACTAAATTCTCCATTTAGAGCTATTTCACTCAAAAGTTATCGTTTGAAGATTTGTACTAGTATTAATATTATTAATAGTATCGGTTTCGGCCCTCGTATGTTTGTTTTAAAGGCTCACTGTGTAACTATTAATATATGTATATATATATATATCATCTCATTCCCGTTGTAACATGACATTATCCTCATCGAGGAATCAAATGCGTGGCGTCTCGCTCGTTCTCACTTAGCACGGCCGCGCTCGTGTGCCGCAAGTTGTCTTCCGTGTAGCCGCCGAGCACGCTTCCATTTTCGCTACAAACACAACAAAAATAAAATAAACATTAAAAAAAATAAACATTAAAAAAACCATGATCCCCATCGTCAAAACCAGTGTTTAAAAAAAAAGATCAATTTTTTTTTTCGTACGGGACAAAGTTGTGGTTGTTGCGCGTCGACGACAGGCCCTGGTCAAACACATCGAGGAGGATCGGCGGCTGGCCAATGAACGGGTTGTTGGCTTTGGAGATGGCAAACACTTGAGACATCTTTTGCTGGAATCGGAGCTTGTACTGCTTGGGCGGGATGGCCGAGATGCCGTCGGGGTCTTTGCGCTTGACGTGTTGCTTCCAGAACCGCTCGAGCTTCTTCTCGAGCGTCCACTGCTGCAAAAAGTCGATGATGCCAAACTGGTACAGCGCTGGACCGTTGACGCTGATCGCAGTCTGCGTCGCAAAGGTTGAGCCGGGGTGCATGTTTGGGTTGAAGCCCACGATGCCTGGTTCGACATAGTACTCGCAGCTCTGGACACCCATGAGCAGGCTGTAGTCCATAATGCCTTGGTCATGCAGAAAGTCGCTGTCAAAGCACAGCTGGTCGTACAGCTGATTGGACGCATGTGGATCGATGCGCACTTTCGTGAGCAAGTCGTTGTCCTTTAACACGATATTGGGCTCGTGAAAGTTCAGTCCGTCGCCGCACTCTTGCGACTTGGTGCTGCCAAACGTGTACCGGGCATTGCAGTACCGGCACGTGACGTTGTTGCCGACCTTGGGGAGCCGCGCATTGCGGTCCTCCCAGCTGCCCTTGATGTCGTACCGATGGTGGATCACTTGCGTGTTGGCAAATATGTTGCCCATCACGACAAAGTAGTACATCTTGCCGTACAACTGCACGGCGTGACACCCGTAGAACTTGGTCATGAGTGACTGCGGATGCCCCACAAGGTACGCCGCGTACTTGGGCGCCATCCGACGGAGCAACTCGCACTCTTCCTTGGACATGGTCTTGACGATGATGCTTTCGTCCGCGCTGTAAAACATGAACGCGCCGCTCCGGCCTTCGCTAAAGCGTTCCTACACCATCACCACCAAGGTTAGGGGGGTTTCGGAGTTTCGGGGTTTTGGGGTTTTGGGGTTTTGGGGTTGGACGGATGTACCTTAGTCGTGGCCGAAAATAAACCGACGTATCTGTTGTCGGAAATGCCATAGTTTTCTCGAATCGTGCGAAACACCGTGGGGGCGTACGACCAAAACTTGATTGTTTTGCCCTACACACATAGTATTAATATATATGATATTTATTATATATATATATAGTCCAGTTTGGAGTAGTATTGGAAAATCGAACGAACCAGTCTATCGACCGACAATCGATCGACCAATCAAAATGCACAACACGAATCCAGTGACCAATCATATTCTTCCATACTAGTCGTATTAGTGTATGACTGAAATTAGTGTACAGACAACACCCATTCCGTACAAACAATCGATCGATCGATGGCGGTTGATGAATTAATTCGTACAAACACAAAAAACTCACATCCATATGTTGACTCAAAGCCCTATATATATATACAAAAGCAAACCCTATATATATACATATATCTACAAAAGCAAACTCTATATATATATATATACAAAAGCAAACCATATATATATACAAAAGCAAACCCTATATATATATATACATAATGAGGACGAATGGGCGAATACACAACCTTGTCGTCTTGGCCATCGGTGAGCAAAAACATCTCGGACGACGACGCGTTAGTCCGCGCCTCCTGCACCGACTGCTTGATGCCTGACGTGGTGTAGTACAAGATCTCGGAGCGCAGCGCCAGGTTCACTTGGGGACTCAGGTCCACGTCCACGTCCGTGGTCTTGCTGTTCTTCTTGGTGTTGTTTACGGCAAACCAAATGATGTACTCGAGGTACCCCTTGGACGCGACGAGGAACATGAAGAACTGCCGCATCATCATGGGAATCACGTTGAGCGGGTCCGTCTGGTAGCTGTCAGAGACAAAGTACGTCGACATGTACATGAAGAGCAAGAAGAGCCAGTAAAACACCATCGCTCCCGTGAACCTACCACCAGATATGATTGACTCACGTACAAGACACCACCACGTACAGCGAAATGTAGTTGAGCACTCCCAGACGAATATTGTATGTCTTGGGCACACCGCCCGCATACAGCCGACGCCAGGCAATGATTAGGACCCTACTCCGCCATCAATCGTCAATGATATCTTTATTTGGATAGGATTTCTGATATATATATATATATGGGCTTATCTTACGTGACGGACACGAGCAGCACAAAAATGACAAAGCCGTAGAGCAGGATCCAAGGCCTTTGTTGCACAAACACGAGATTAGCATCATATATATATATATATTTGTCGTGTGGACAATAATTCGATGTGGAAGGTAGGTACGTACCATTGCTGGATGCGCAAAAAGCTCTTGGGCACTTCGCCATTCTTGGCCACCTTGCCAGATGATGCGAGGCAGAATCCAATCACGTTGTGCTTGTTGTCATTGTCGTTGATCTGGCGGCCGTCCACGTGGAAGAAGCCGCCGGCGGGGCCGCCGCTCGTCTCTTCGACCGTGAATGCAATCACAGCCATGAGCAGACCTACACTCATATTCGTGAGCAAGTTTGTCATGAACGAAGCAACGTACTGGTGGTCCACACAAAGCAGTGGTAAAACTTCATCGATCGCTTGTAGCTCTTGAACGGGTCATTTAGCTACGCAGCATAGCAACGAATGATAGTTTCGAGTGAATATATATATATATATATATATATATATATATGATAGTTTCGAGAGAAACACACCCACGGATATATATATATATATATATAAAGTGGAAAAAACAACACGCACGTACCGACGAATACAAGTCGATTGCCATCATGAGACCCCAGGCTTCAGACGAGAAGAAAAAGAACTCGGTGAGCCCGGCCAGTTTCTGACATGACTTGGCGGACTTGTCGTTGGCAGGGTTGTAGTCGACTAGGATGTTGAGCAACAAGCAGATGGCGAGGAAAATGCTAAGGCAACTGCGCATGTGCACGATCGGGTTGGGGTGCTGATGCCATTCGCGCTTGAGGTTGTACGTGACCACCACTGCCATGCCGCACACGATTGTGTTGATTGACCCAGCAATCAACCCCGCCCACCGGTAGTTGTAGAAGGCCAGCGTCATGCCGAGGCAGCCGAGTGTCCAGCACAAGCCCATGATCTGGCTCTTCTTGTTCTCCATCCAGTGGATCTTCGAGTTCGCTGAGCGCTGGGTGCGGCCGCGGAATTGCTTCTGTAGTTCCTTGTCGATCACGTGGATGTTCGCGGTGTTCGCGGAACTCGGGAACGGCTGGCTAAAGCCGCCTTGTGGCTGCGAGCCGGGTCCACTGCTCAGGGGTGCATTGCCTCCATAGTAAGGGTTGCTTGGGGTGGTGGCCTGGCCCTGCGCATAATACGACTCGATTTCTCGCAGGTTTTGCGTCGGGACCTGCTGCGCAGGCGCGTACGAGGTGGGAACGTCGCTCCAGTGATCTTCCATCACTGGCATCGAGCTCTCGGGGGACCTGACGTTGGTGTCACGGGAGTTTGCTTTGTGAGGACGCCGAGTTGCCATTGTAGTCGCCGATCTCGATCGGGCGGGCGATGGATAGCTGGTTGAAAGAGCGAGTTTCGGAACAGATGCAGTGTTTGCAACTGCAACAAACAAAATTGTAGTGTACATTCTTTTGAATTTCATACAAATAGGTATATAATACAACCAAGTGTTGCAATATTTATTTACAATCGCCCATCTCTGCCGGATGAGGCTAAAAGCCCAACCTCATGTGAGTAATCCGCCGCTGCCTTTAGCGGCGGAGACTGGTCCTGGCACTAGAAGATGGAGCATCCATATATCTGACGTATGTCTCTACTACAGCACAAGCCCTCCGTCAACTCGAAAGACCTGGCCGGTGACGTATGATGACTTCTCGCCAAGCAGGTACGACACCATGTGTGCAACGTCGTCGGGTTGGCCGAACCGACGCAACACGATTTGATCGACTGCCTTTTGGCGCGCGTCGTCGCTCATGTGGGCGGTGGTCATGTCCGTGGCAATGAAACCAGGCTCGACGAGGTTCACCCGGATGTTCTTGGGACCTAATTCCTTTGCAAGCGACGTGGTCATGCCGACGAGACCCGCCTTCGACGCAGCGTAAGCAGCTTGTCCAACGTTTCCCCTGGACCCGACTACGCTCCCGAGGGTGACGATGCTACCTAGACGCATCATGTAGATGAGGAGACGCTGAAAGAAGTGAGATGTACCGCGCTTCTGTTGCACCATCCCTCGTGCCACAGCCTTGCACATGAACAAAGGGCCGAGTAAATTGGTCTGCATCATCTTCTGGGCATGCTCTTCGTGGAGTCGCAAGAGCAACGCGTTGTGTGTTTCGCCAGCTACATTCACGAGTCCTGTGATCGGACCGCCGAGCTGACTTGCCACGTCCTTCACAGCTCTTTCCGCACTTCCAGACACGCACGCATCGTATGCTACCCCAACGACTTCCGGCGATATTGTCGCTGCCGATTCCATGGCGCGTTCACTGGTGCGGGACGTCAACGCCACGAGCCATCCATCTGCATGGAGCTGACGTGCCACAGCCAGGCCAATGCCACGGCTTCCACCGGTCACTAGCGCGATTCGACTCATAGCAAGCTCAGTATTATCAAATTCCCAATTTTCATGAAACATTTTCTTAAAATTGAAAGAAATATATATTGTGAATTCGCTATAACCTTCCCAAATTCTCGTGGTTTGTCGTCTAATCAATAATGAATCACGCTGGAGTTCTGATTGGTTAAATATACCTGTCCTTTCTGTAAGACCCAATCAAATCTACTCAAAATTGGATTAGCCAATGGCGTCGATTCGTGATTCGATTCGGCGACGAGATTCGATTCCACAAATTTGTACCGAATCCACAATACTAATACTATTAATAGTACGTACTACTATTAATAGTATTAATATTTATAGTACTTTTTCGTGAAATAATAAGTACTACGTAGTACTAGTACTACCGGTAGTACTACGTAGTCCTACCTCTGTTTTGCAAATATTGCAAGCAGTTTCAGATGGGATACTTCTAGATCTCTGATTGGCAAACGGATGGGTGCGTTTCGTTCCTATTGGTCAGACGAATCCATGTGTATTTTTTCTCGAATTATATATTCGGATTCCACTTTCCTATTCCTAAATAGAGGACATTCATTGGCTAGATTTGAGAAATTTCGAGCCAAAACCATACTCGCAATTCTGATTCGAACCATTATTGTGGGACGGAGGGAGTACAATAGTATGTACTTCCTCTGTTTTGCAAATATTGCAAGCAGACATTCCGCCCTTTAGTAAATCTAAGTATACCGAAATGGAAATATAAAAAAATTATGGAACCATATGGTATACCCAGCTCTGATAGGAGCACACTTTCACTCCAGCTTCAGCCTTCATTGCTTCCATGCTTGTGCTCAATGGGCTTGAAATCCTAACGCTATATCACGATAAATGAATTGTAATAGCTTACTATGAGATGTCGAAGTCCTTCTAAATACCCATTAATGGTTGTGGTTGCATGCATGCGTCGTGTAAACTGATGAAGTCCCTAGGTGGACTGAGATGTTTAGAGGCTTTGATTGGATATTGGAAGCCGTTGTATTCAGCCAATCAGAAGTATGTATTTCCAGCATTGATTTACAGTAAGCGAGCGTTTTTGAATAAGCTTACAGTGTAGCGAATTCCCAATATATAATAAATATATTGATCAATGTTACTCCGTGGGGTGCATCCACGAGTCGTCGTAAATAGCGCCCAACCGTGCTCGGATGCGTGCCTTGGTTCTACAAGGCCATGAGCTATGTCCAATCAGTTGATAGGTTCCAGCATACTCTGACGAAAGTGAGAGTGGCGATGATGACCTGGCAAAGTCCAACGACTCGACGACAAATTTCCAGTTGGCAGTCGGTCTCCCTTGGACTGACGACCTATATATCCCCACTTAGTTGGTTGAATATAGTACATACACATGTACAATCAATCCAAGTTATGAAGGAGGCAACACCAACCACGCGGACGACGAGTAATGCTGCTCGTGGCCTTGCAGGGCGGCCGCATTCCGAACCAAGAGCATCTCCATCAGCACATCCGCAAACACGGCCGCGTCTCGCACGATATGGGACAGTTTCGACGGCAACTCGTGACTCGGCGGAAATGCAGGAAGTGGATGGAGGCGGCGGAATTCGCTGGTCACGGCATCGCATAACGGCTCGGGAAGCGCTGGCAAGCATGATGCATCGTCGGGGTGGTTTAATCCTGCGACATCGTCGTTGTCGGCATTGTCGTCCAACGTTACGTCGATGGGGCTCGGGGACATCTCAAATCTAATATCGAATCAACCATCCGACAGTGTCGCAGATCAGCGGAGTGGATATTGCATCATAGGGTATGATATACGAAGTGTAGGCCGTACGATGTGCGCAAGAGATTTTGCATGCGGACGGGCCAGCGGAAGCGGCTACCAGGGAATGAATGACATGTATGCAAGAGAAAACTCCCTTACGTTTTCAAAGCGTTGGCGGCGGTGGTTGGCGCCGCCCCGGGAGGGCCGTGGAGCGGGAGGCCGCGATTGATGGCGCCGACTTCGGCATGCGATAGGTGCGTACAGAGGCCCCGCATGACACTCCACGCATGATGGACTCCACTCGACACATCTCCTTCCATGACTTCATCTTGTTCGTCGTCTTCGATGGCATCGACCTACTTCAATCAACTCATGGAAACTAACCCGACGCAACCGACCTCGTTCCCATGAAGCGACGTGTTCGGATCTTCGGCTACCAAGGCGACGTCCACGTTCGATGCCTCCATGAATGCAGATTTGTCGTCGTCGTTTCTGTGTGGGGCGGAGGAGACCGTGTGCTGCTCGCTCCCAATTTGGGTCCATGCAAATGGAGGCGACGATGGTATGTCGACGTTCGAGTCGAGCACGTTGAGCTTGGAGTCAACAACGTCGTCCGGGAGAACGGTTTCTTCCTCCGAGTCGTACCCGCCATTTGTGTTTGCATCAGGTAGCTTCGTAGATGACGTTGCTTTCAGCTGCGACACCCTCTGGTTCATTCGGTTGGTTGACATGGAGTGGACATCATCTTACAGTACCCTTTTTGGCGACGGAACATCCCTTGAGATCTGTGACTATGCACGAACAGATCGTGTTAGCAAGTCGTCTTGGCGATATCAAGACGCACCAGACTGCGCTTGCTTGCCTTCGGCACTCCAAATCCGCTCATCCCGCCGCCGCTTCCTCCAGTGCCGACACCACCAGAATTGTCAACACTCGATTACGCGCGGCCAATCAAATGTCAAGATTTAGGACACTCGAAATATGTGCCATACTTTGGTCGGACGTTTATCCGGATTGTATCAACTTTGAAGAGGCGCGATTTCGTGAGATGTCAATGGCCGAGGTTGCCGGTGAAGACGTGCATGAATATGACGTCCACGAGGGTAGGCTGAACGTGAAGAACGTCACGGTTGCGTCGCTCTCGGACATTCGCTTGGTGCGTATGTATAGCGTTGTCCAAGGTCAACTGTGACTTCACATGGGAACATCCAGGTGTCCCCTGGTCAGTTGAAGTGCCTCAACGTGTCGGACAATGTCTTGCTCAACATGCAACCGGCGCACGACTTTCCGTTGCTCCAGGCATGACACTACTGTTCATGTGTCGGTAGGATCTGACTCTCGTTAGCACTTGACGTTGACTCGGAATTGGATCGTCGACATGGGACCCGTCCGGCAGTTTCCGCACCTTCTCCACCTGGACCTGTCCCACAACAATATTCGACAAGTTGATGGGATCGACATGTTGACCCACTTGCAGGTCGGTGTGTTTGCAGCCTCCTTTTTGACTCATGGTTGGGTAGGTGTTGAACCTAAGCCATAACGACTTGCGCAACTTTCTGGCGATCCGCCCGCTGTCGCTCAATCAAGTAAGCCCTTGCAGACTTTGAAAGGCTTACATCGACCTGTCTAGTCTATTCGTGTATTGCACTTGCACAACAACGTCGTGGCGACACTCAGCGGGTACCGCGCTCGCGTGTCGTCCCTGTTGCCCCAAGTATTCATGCTCGACGACGTTCGCTTTCCTCGCTTTGCGTCTCTCAAAAAGTTGCCCAGTCCTTCCTGTCGAGCATGCGGCCACACTGCGCTTCCGCCACACTTGGCACCGTCTCAGGGGGTGCGTCTTATGATTGGTGTCGTTCACGACGTCTGGCTGAACCCTCAGTTGTAGCGACGACTGTCCAAGGACGAACAGGCGTTGTGCGACGCCGTGAGGAGTAAACCTCGACTACCAAACGCTGCCAAAAAATCGACACCCCCACTAGCCGTGCACCCCCACCCAACCTCGTCGCAGATGCCAAATCGTTTTCAACAGGAACACGAGGATAGTGGCCGTCAGCTCTTCATCCAACAGAAAATGCATGACCGACCAAAGCAAGCCAAAGCCACCGTCGCAGCGCGATCTCGACACATGAGCTTGATTGAGCGCAAGCTTTTGCAATTGATCGCCTCGAAAGACGACCACAAGAAGCCAGTACGTTGGCATATCGTGTGTCCAAAACTTTAAAAGACAACGCCACGAGTGTAGATGGCTCCAGCGCCGAAGACTACGACGCCATGCAAGAGCCAACGCAGCAACCAGTTGGACGTGGACGCGCTCACGTCCATGGAAGACAGCAACGACAGCAAAACACCCAGCCCCACGTCCTGCGCGGACAACCATCTGCATCCCCTCGACGACATGTTCACGGACGACATGGAGTACCACGAAGACATGATGCAGCAACTGCAGCACAACATCACCCCAACAACAACTATGGAGTCTGAGACATCGTACTACGGATTCGACCAAGCGTGGGCCAGCTGTGCTGCGCTCGAGAAATTGTTTGACACGTCGTTGCCGCTGTACGACGACCAAGTGATAGCACTGGCACAGGCGGCCGCGGAGGACTTGCCATTCCAAAACGTGCACCTCGGGACCGTCCTTCGGGAGTTTGCCCAAGTGTTGAGTCTGCAGCAAGAGCCTCAATCGCCACAAAGCGAGACGTCGGAAATGACGCAGATACAGCAGTTCCTCCGTCGAAATTAACTTGTTAACATGTTAGCTGGCAAGGCATGTTACAGTAGCTGGCAAGGAAATACTCTCACGGACCTGCCGTAGTGTACATGTACCTCCTTGAAAAATCTCAAACTTATTGACAGTGAATTAACAGCACGTACAGTAATAAGATTGGATTTCTTGGTGACGTATTAGAACCTTGTTCGGATTGGCTATAAATAAAGTTAAGGCGTTCTGATTGGATATATTTGTATGATTTCGTCGTGAATGATAGTATTATTAATCACGGCAAAAATGCACCAATTACGTGGCCGTAGATCGCCATTTCCATTTCGAGAAGTTTCCGAACGAGAAGGGGCAGATACGTAGTAGATATGAGTGCCGCGGACGTTGACATGGAGAGCTCCTCGAATAGCGGCGGCATCGACGAGAGCTTGTACAGCCGTCAGTTGTATGTGATGGGTCACGAGGCACAACGCCGCATGGGCGAATCCAACGTCCTCATCGTCAACGTGGATGGATTGGGCGTTGAAATCGCCAAGAACATTGTGCTTGCAGGAGTGCGCAGCGTGACGCTATTGGACGACGCCCCCGCCACCTTTTTGGACTTATCGGCCCAATTCTATCTCACCGAGCAAGATGTTGCAACGCAAACGGGGCGCGCGGAAGCGACATGGCGAAAATTGGCCGAATTGAACCCATACGTGCAAGTAAAGCAACACACGGGCAAACTCACCGCCGACTTCATCGCTCAGTTCCGAGTAAGCATGTCAAGGACTCCCTCGTGATGGGGGTCGTTTTGCTCATGCATATTGGTGGATGATAATCTGTAGGTTGTGGTTATCTGCAACGCCACCAGGGAATATGCGATTGAAATCAATGACATCTGTCACGCCTTGGATGTCGCGTTCGTCTACACGGAATCCCGCGGGGTGTTTGGGTCGGTGTTTTGCGATTTCGGGGAGGCGTTTGTCGTGTCGGACAAGGACGGCGAACAACCGATCACGTGCATGATCGCGTCCATTACGACTGACGTGCCTGGCAAATTGCTCGTGACCGTCACGGACGACTCGCGCCATCAACTGGAAACCGGAGATTTCGTGACGTTTCGCGAACTTCAAGGGGTGGACGGTTTGAACGGAGTCGCGCCGCTGCCCATTACGGTCACCGGTCCCTACACATTTACCATTGACCACCCGTCGATTGCCGTCAACTCCATGGGTGGCTACGTCACGCAGGTCAAGCAACCGGTGGTGCTGCAATTCAAGCCGTTGAAGGAGTCGTTGGTGTCCCCCGGTGAGTTCCTCACGAGCGACTTTGCCAAGTTTGGTCGGTCCGAACTGCTGCATGTGGCATTCCAAGGCTTGGATGCATTCCAAATCGTACATGGGCATTTGCCACGCTCTGGCAACGCCGAAGACGCCGACGACATTGTGCGCTTGACCAAGCCGTTTGCCCACGAACTCAAGGTGGACGTGGACGCCAACGTTGTGACGGCCCTGGCGACGGGCGCGCGGGGGGTGGTCGCCCCCATCACGTCGTTCTTGGGCGGCATTGTGGGCCAGGAAGCGCTCAAAGCGTGCAGTGGCAAGTTTACGCCGATCCACCAGTGGTTCTACTTTGATGCGATCGAGTGTTTGCCCGACGAGGTGTTGCCCGAGGCCGAATATCAACCGCTCAACTCCCGCGACGACGGCCAAGTGGCCGTGTGGGGCCGGTCGTTCCAAGAAAAGCTCAAGCAACTTCGCCTGTTTCTCGTCGGCGCCGGCGCCATCGGGTGCGAAATGCTTAAGAATTGGGCGCTCATGGGCATCGCGTCCCACGCCCACGGCCGTATCCACCTCACCGACATGGATCTGATTGAAAAGTCCAACTTGAACCGCCAGTTCCTGTTTCGCTCCACGGACGTGGGCCAGGCCAAGTCGTCCACGGCGGCCACAGCCATCCAATCGATCAACCCCCATGTCAACATCCAAGCGTACGTGACACGCGTCGGCGCCGACAGCGAAACCACGTTTGACGATGCGTTCTACGATTCGCTCTCGGGCGTGTGCACCGCCTTGGACAACGTCGATGCCCGGCTGTACATGGACCAACGCTGTCTGTTTTACGGGCTGCCCATGCTTGAGTCGGGTACGTTAGGCACCAAGGGCAACACGCAGGTGGTGGTCCCCAACGTGACGGAGAACTACGGCGCGTCGCGCGACCCCCCCGAGAAAAGCATCCCCATTTGCACGCTCAAGAACTTCCCGAATGCGATCGAACACACGCTGCAGTGGGCCCGCGACTGGTTTGAAGGCGTGTACTTCCAGACCCCCAACGACGTGAATGCGTACATCACGACGCCGAATTTCATCGCGAAGAACGTGCACACGGACTCGGTCGAGCGCGTGTACGAGTCGCTGGTGGCGGACAAACCCGCGTCGTTCCACGAGTGCATTGCGTGGGCGCGGCTCCAGTTTGAAGCTATGTTTTCCAATTCGCTCAAGCAGTTGCTGCACAACTTTCCGCTTGACCAAGTCACGACCACGGGCACGCCGTTCTGGTCGGGCCCGAAGCGCCCGCCGACGCCGCTGACGTTTTCCACAGACGACACGGTGCACATGGACTTTGTCGTGTCGGTCGCCAACAGTCGCGCGCGGACGTACGGCATCGTAGGCCACCGCAATCGCGCCGAGTTTGTCGCGGCGCTCGAAACGATCCACGTGCCCCGCTTTGTGCCGCGCGACGGCGTGAAAATCGCCGCCAACGACGAAGAAATGAAGCAAGCCGCCCAAGGTCAGTCCAACACGGTCATCGCGGGGGCCCCCCCGCCGCCTCTCCCGTCGCCGGCCGAGCTGGGCGATTACCGCATGTTTCCCATTGAGTTTGACAAGGACGACGACAGCCACATGGAAGTGATTGTGGCCACGTCCAACTTGCGTGCTCGATCGTACAAAATCCAAGAAGCTGATTTGCATGCGTCGCGCTTCATTGCAGGCAAGATCATTCCTGCCATCGCCACCACTACGGCGTTGGTGACTGGGTACGCGATCGTTCTTTTTGCCAGTATCATGTTGAATGGATAGGAATGACATGTGGTTTTGACTATGTTTTGTGCGTAGGTTGGTGTGCTTGGAATTGGTCAAGTATTTCCAACACAAGCCGTTGGAAGCGTTCAAGAACGGGTTTGTCAACTTGGCGCTGCCGCTGTTTGCGTTTTCCGAGCCCATTGCGCCGAAAGTGACGACGTCGATGCTCAACGACGAGCCGTACAAGTGGACTGCGTGGGACCGACTGGAAATGAACGTGGGCGACGTCACGTTGCAAGAGTTTTTGAAGCATTTCGAATCCAAGTACGGCGCCGAAGTGTCGATGCTGTCGTATGGCGTCACGATTCTGTACGCCATGTACTCGGCCAAGTCAAGATCCAAGGAGCGCATGGGCATGAAGCTGTCGGAGCTCGTGACTACGATCACCAAGGCCGACCTCCCGCCCAAGCAAAAGTACCTCATCTTGGAAGTGTGTGCCGCGGACGCCGAAGGAGAAGACCTGGAACTGCCCTACATTCGGTACCAGTACCGCCAGTAGGATATGTATCCGCAGGCTGGCGGGGTACATTATTAACCTTGATATTAATAACGTTGATTTACAGTTAACGAACTTATTGATAACGTTAACGTTAACGTTACCACGAAGAATAAAAACATGTTTGGATTCTGTGTTTTGATTCTAACATCAGCCTACTTTTTCAATTGTTCATGTACTACTCCGGAGTATTAATACTGTAGCGTTTCCTCCGGAATTATCCGGAAGTGTCCTCGAAAATATTTTTTAGGGTGCGTCTGGTAACATTTCAAAAATAATATTCCATTTTCTCGCAAAATGGGATAAACCAAAAATGCCATTTTCAAAATGGAGGTAAAAGGTCAATTTTGTCAAGTCGCTCCGAACACGCCCATAAGGGGCGTTTTGGACCTCTTCAAAGAGTAAATCCCACTTGGAATTATTGGATTTGGGTTAAAACTCTTCAAGCAAGACATGCTTGAATTTTGATCAGATTTGTTGAATTCGGCCCCAAAATGGCGTTTTGGGCCTAATATTGCAATATTTCCGGTTACCGGACGCACCCTTAGCCAATAGGAGCACTTTGCCCCTTGGTCCTTGTTGGCCAATGAAGTGCCTGGAATCGCTCCATCAGGGCACAATCCATTCGTTGTAAACAATCAGCACGGTGACCATGGCATCTAAGCAGGCGGACAAATTTGTCACCTTGCTGAGCGACAAGCTCAAGCAGCTGACGAGCATTGCATTGACGCAGGAGGAACTCAATGACAAGCTTGGTACTGCGATTGCTACGCTGCCGAATGGGTCGTTGAAGGCTACGCTGCAACGCAACCTTGACGTATACAGCAAGCGTCTCGGACGACTCTTAGAAGCGTCGCTCTCGGCACACCGCCCAGCGTCTGTCAGCGAGAAATTGCTCTGCGAAGCCGACTACGACATCCTCTTGAGCCAGAACCACACATCCAAGCTCGTCGAGCATTTGAGCGTGCCACCGTCCGTGTTTGCCAATTTCGTTACCGCGGACACCTCCACTGACGACGACCCCGTCAAGATCGTAGACGCCGTCGTGCAGCTCGTGAGCGCAGCAACGCAGGAACTCGCCACAAACGGCTTTACATCGGTGTATTCGACCAAACAGAGCCCGCATGCCGCCATCGCGCTTTATGCCGACAAGGTCTCGGCGCATGTGCGGTCATGGATGGAAGCGGCGCACACACACAACGACTCGTTCGACGTGTTGAACAGTCGCCAGTTGCAACGGGCGCTGGCGGAGCTGCTCAAGGTGGTCGAGTTCGCCCAACTCCAGGACTTGTACCAGGCTCCATCCTCCACCGTCCGTGACCAATCGTTCTCGTTCTACCTACCCAACGAAGTCACAACCTCCATCAATCAAACATGCACTTCTGCCCTGGCCACTCTGTACGCGACCTACCTCGTGCTGGTGGTGCACTACCCGAGCCGGACGCCGCCGCCAGACGCAGTCGACTCGGACGACGATGACGACGATGACCTGCATGAAACTATCCACCCCGTCAAAGCCGACCCGCTCAGCGTCGCTTCCCAAAGCGTGGCCGAGCTCCTCGTGACGGCAGAACGCTTCGCCTCGTCCTGGCTCGTCGACGTGTTGCTGGCGGCGGCGCAACTGCCCCAGCCGACCGTCCCCTCGAACGAAGTCGCCCTGATAGCTCAATTCAACCGAGTTGTGATCAAGGCACTGCATCAGCTGTCGTTCCAGCCCAACATGTCAGCGGTCGAGTTTGTGCGCGGCGTGTTGTTCGTGCGGCAAGCCAAGGCGCTGCTGCGCCGGACGCGCCAAGCCAACGCCCCGCAGCTCACGTCCGTCATCACTCGGCTCACGTCGCTGGCGATTCCGTTTAAATTGACCGACTGGATGACCCTCGTGGCGCTGGGTAAGTAAAGGACGATTCTTCATCGGGAATATAACACATTGTCGCAGGCGACACGTCGAGGTTGTCGGAGCTGATTGCCCCCGTGGTCGAAACGGCGCCGACTTCAAGCGCGTTTCTGTCCTCCACATGGAAAGACTCGGACTTGATCGACCTTGCGACCGTACGTGTGCCCCCACTTCGTCTGTTTGTCTAATCGTGGCTTAGAAACTCGAGCTCGAGTTTGTGACCAAGCGACAGCAACTCGGAGGTGACGACGAGGACGAGGCAGGAACCATCGCTGACCAACCGCATGGCGACACTGCAGCAGACGGCGACCACCCGCTCTTTTTTGTCGACAGCGTGGGCGGCCAATAATAAAAAGACTGTTGAAATATGACTGAATAACTACAGTACTCAGTACCGACGACATGGTTGCGTAGACTACGTGGCTACGAGTCCAGTTTACGCCTACAACACTGACATTGGGTTGAGGCTTATATGACGTGGTTGACCCGAGCAAGGAAGAAGTCTTGAGGGTTGGTGGAATGTTGAACCCTTTGGCGGGTTGGCTGGGAAAGATTGTGTGGTGGTCGGTGGTCTCAAGAGTTTTGCAAACACATGGTTTCACGATTCTATAGGCACGTGACGTCGCTTCTAGCCCACAATGACACAAACCGATTGCAACTTCTAGTAGTACTCCAGAGTATATATACAGTACGGCTCCTTCCATGCATAGTAGCGCGCCTAGAGATGGCGTCTGCAGAGGCCACCGCTACTTGCTTCCGGTGCCATCAACCAGTGCACTCGCCAGCCAACATCCCATCCATCATGCTGGACAAAGTGTCACTTTCACCATCGAACTTCCCCATGTGATTTGTCCCATCCGGATAACTCCTCGTTCAAGCTTTTCATTGGTTGTCATGGCCCCACGAAATGGGCGTCCACATGGTTTTGCCCACTTCGAATATGGGCGAAGTTGACTTTGTTGAAAGTGACTTGGGATTTGTATACTCTATCAAAATCTGCAACTCTCTTCAACTCTGGGTTTAGTTGGCGTTTGGCTGAACAGAGCACAGGAGGACGACAGACCACAACGAAGGCAGCAGCATGAAGATCATCGACAAGATCAACGAAAAGATTGAGAAGAAGGAACCGTTCTACTCCTTCGAGTACTTCCCTCCCAAGACCCCCGCCGGCGTCACCAACCTGTACACGCGCATGGATCGTATGGCGCTGATGGAGCCGCTGTTCTGCGATATGACGTGGGGTGCCGGCGGCAGCACGGCCAGCATGACCATCGAGCTTTGCGTGAACGCGCAGAAGTTGAGTGGCCTTGAGATGCTCATGCACTTAACCTGTACGAACATGCCCAAGGGCAGCATCAAGAACGCGCTTGACTCGGCCAAGGACGCCGGCATCCAGAACATCCTCGCGCTGCGCGGCGACCCGCCGCGCGGCCAGACCGAGTTCAAGGAGTGCGAGGGCGGGTTCGCGTACGCGATCGACCTCGTCAAGTACATCCGCGAGGAATACGGCGACTACTTCTGCATCGCCGTGGCGGGGTACCCCGAGGGCCACTCGGATGCCAAGGACCTGGACACGGACATCTTGCACCTCAAGGAGAAAGTGGATGCGGGCGCCGACTTTATCGTCACGCAACTGTTCTACGACGTGCATAAGTACTTTGACTTTGTCGACAAGTGCCGCGCCGTGGGCATCAACGTGCCCATCCTTCCCGGGATCATGCCCATTCAAAACTACAATGGCTTTGTCCGCATGAGCAGCATGTGCGGCCACGTTCCCGACGCGGTACGTCTTGTCTTCCCTCTTGATGTCTCACGATGGCGTTACTAGATTCTCCAAGCGTTGGAGCCAATCAAAGACAACGACGAAGCAGTCAAGGACTACGGCGTCGAGCTCGGCATCCAAATGTGCCGCGATCTGCTCGATCACGGAGTTCCCGGCCTGCACATGTACACGCTCAACCTCGAGCGCTCCACGCGCCTCATCCTGGAAGGACTTGGCCTTACCGCGACCGCCCGCCGCGAACTCCCCTGGCGTCCGGTACATACCTCCCTTCTATCATGTGCGTTCATCACCTGACAGGATGTCCACTAACTAGTCGACACTGGCGAAACGCGCCGGCGAGACGGTGCGCCCCATCTTTTGGGCTAACCGGCCCAAGAGTTATCTGGACCGAACGGCCAGCTGGGACGAATTCCCGAACGGCCGGTGGGGGTCGAGCGAAAGCCCAGCTTTTGGCGACTTGAATGAATCGTACTACTCGCACACGACCGCGTCCGTCCAGGAGCGCAAGGCCATGTGGGGAGAAAGTCCAGTGACGTATGCCGACGTGTACGAGACGTTTACGCGGTACGTGATGGGCGCCGTTAAGTCGCTGCCGTGGTGCGACACGCCTCTGCATCTCGAGACCAAGTCGATCCAGGAGCGTCTCGCCGCCGTCAACCGCGCGGGGTACTTGACCATCAACAGCCAGCCGCGTGTGAACGCCGCGCCGTCCGACGACCCCATGTTCGGCTGGGGTGGCCCTGGCGGACACGTATACCAGAAGGCGTACGTCGAATGCTTTGTCTCGCCCGAAAACCTCAAGCGCATCATCGAAAAGTGCAACAAGATGAAGCATGTGCAGTACCATGCCGTGGACGTGAACGGCAACTCGTACTCGAACTGCGGCAAGGGCACCACCGCCGTCACGTGGGGCTCGTTCCCTAACAAGGAGATCCTGCAACCCACGATCGTCGACACGGACAGCTTCATGGCGTGGAAGGACGAAGCGTTCAGTCTGTGGCTGTCCATGTGGGCCTCCTTGTACCACGACGAGTCGGCCGCGCACGCCTTGATCCACCAGATCCGCGACTCGTTCTTCCTCGTCAGCATCGTCGACAACAACTTTGTCAACGGCGACATCTGGGACGCTTTTGACGTGGACGTCACGACCGCCTCCGCTGCCGGCCCTTAAGTGAGCCCACCAGCGCAGGTTGTTCCAACGTCGTGTCGTCGTGAGGTGTGCACACTCCTCCTCGATTGAGTTTGAGCAGGATGCAAGTACTGATGTATGCACCTCCGCCACATCTCCACCGTCCCCTCCGTTAGAAACGTTAATAAACCCATGTCATATGCTTGGCTGGCCTTCGGGCTGCCAGCAACCCTCCCTCACGTGTTGATTGCGGAAGTCGAAGAATTATCCGGATTAGTGATTTTCCGGTTAACTTGGCGGGGCATTCAAAAATCCCATTTGATTTCTGCATTTCCACTGCGACTCCAAGCAGGCGGAGGCGACTTCCACCGGCAGCGTCCTGGGTCCTGTCGCGTCATGTTCCCACTCACCAAGTCGCCCACCCCATCATCCTCACGTCATGACGGCGCAACGGTGATGCTGTGGTTCGACACCTTCGTCAGCCCCGAGAGTAAGTCTTCTTTGTATGTCGATTGATGATGTGGTCTCGTACGTGAATAGGTGTGGTGGATGCGAAGCTTCGCATGCCCGACTACGAATACACTGTCACGGGCTATCAGCGAATGAAGAAGCGAGAAAGGATACAATTAGGCACACCCGTCGTGGTGAATGGGAAAAAGCTCGCCATATTTCGGCATGGCGCGCGGTATTATGCCATGCAGCAATTCTGCCCCCATGCTGGAGGCGACCTTGCGCTTGGCGACATCGAAGACATCGACAACATGCTTTGCATCACGTGTCCGCGGCATGGATTTCAATTCGTGTTACTCTCTGGCGATTGTCTGATCGGAGACGCATGGAAGGCCGAACATTACCCGGTGGAAGCGCGGGCGGCATTACCCGACACGCCCCGGACGTTGTTTGTTGGGTTTCCGCAGTTGAACTGCTCACTCTTCTACGAAGAAGACTTCTAGCACCCCCCCTCCGTCGACTCCTGTATGGACGACGGTCCTAAGCGAACTTGTCCTTATGGGCCTTAGTCTTCACTACCATTGACATGACGTTCACAATGTTAACCAACATGTTTGTTCAAGTTGTGCCTTGGTAGCTAACTCATGGGTTTCTCAAGGGGTACAAAGTACATTTGAACTAGTAAAGTTTACCGTATAAACTGAAGTGTTACGGTATACTATACCGTACATGTTCATGTGTACCGTACATATAACGTTGATGTAACTGCCGTAACTGCACCGTCCAAACTTAGCATCATCGTAGTTCCTTTTGACCCTTTACTCATGGGTCTCATCAAGAGCACGTTCCTCTCGTTATCTCCACCCCCTCCCGTGCTTCCTCCACTTGGCGACCATCAAGTGTTCTGCACGGCCCATGGCGTCGTCGCCGCTTCGTCCACGGCTCCTGACCGTCCTACTACCGAGTACTTTCACCTCCCTCTACCAACTACTACTACACCATCCCACATTTCTCCCCAACACCTTGTCGTTCGAGCTGGGACCCACAACACCGCCAGCGCCGCCCACGTCATGTATGTCTGTCGATAACAACCAGTACACCATGTCCACTCGACTCTCCTCCATCTATACTGTACTCCTACTGTATACTAGTTAGTACGTACTTGTATACTAGTACTATTATGCAGCATGTGTACAGGTAAGGTAACGAACGTCCCTATTCCCACGACCTTTCTATTTTATTAAAAATATTAATTTGTTCTTACAGTTTTAGTTTAATAAAGCATTCTTTTACACTTAAGTTCTGTATCGGATTTGACCATTTTAAATAACTGTGTAACCGTTGCAACTCAAGGTTACAATATATAATGTTATGCAAGTCATGCGACATTTGCAAGGTATTTTGACCATTCCTCGCAAAGTATCACGGTATTTTAATGGCAGAATCGAATTCACTGTGGAAAACTACCAATGCCTACTGAGTTTCATATATTTCTTCTAAGAATCTCAAATACAAGCACAAAAAGGGTCGTGGATGCTCTGGACCACTGTTAACTAGTAACGTTCTTGACACTTGGTACAATAATCACTGGTATCAATCCATACTAGTCCTAGGTTGTCTAGTAGTCGTACACACTCGTGGGTTTCTTTGCGGGTCCGCCTTCCATCGTGTACACGACCGCGACGCCGCCCGTGGTGCCCAGCACCAAGTGCTTTTCATCAAAACACACACAAGTGTACGTGTGCTGCCTTGGAAATACCCCGTGGGGGTACATCGCGTACCACCGCCACACGCATGCGACACCGTTTTTCGACACGCTCACCAGTTTGCGCTTGTCAAACTGCAAACTCGACACCCCCACGGACGATGCGAACGTGCAAAGCGGCTGCTGCGTCCGCACATCCCACGCCTGCATGCCGCCGTCCGCGTACCCGGCGACCACGGCCGTCTCGTCCATCTCGAGCGCGCCGATGCCGCCCCGGCACAGCGCCGATTTGGGGCATACCTTGGCGTTTTTGCCGCCCCACCACCGGACCGACCCGTCGTGCCCGGCAGTCCACAGTACCCGCCCCTTGGTGTCTGTCTTTTGAATCGCATCTACATGACGTCATTCATCATGGATATATTGTCAAGTCGAAATTGGAGTGGGGGGGTGCTCAATCGAATGAGCAGAATCACCAAATCGGCAGACAATCGATATATATCGACCAATCAAAACCAGATCACGAATCAAGTAGCCAATCAAATTACCCACTCTTTGACCAATGCAACATCGAATTAGTGTGTGTGACTGAAATTAATGTGAGACTGGACGATCTTTACATACAAAAGTCAGTACAAGAATCGATCGATGATAGATTTGGCAAAGAATCAGCACAAGAGTCAGCCAAATTTTAGGTAAAAGACAATATCATGAGGCAACGTCATTTGCCCGTACCTGGATGCCCACTTATGCGGTGCGTGAGCTTCCCATTGCGAAGGTCGAAGATACGCACAAGGCCGGCGGACGTGCCGCACACGAGCGTGTTGCGGAACAGCATCAGACTCGACACTTGCGGCCGCGCTGCCCGCGCCGCCCGCGGTAACGTCGATGTGTGGATGCTACCGTCATGAAGAACAATGATCAGACCATTGTATATAAATATATATATATATATTGTCGATATATTCGAAATTGGAGTGGGGGGTGTGCTCAATCGAGTATGAGCAGAATCACCAAATCGGTAGACAATCGATATACAACCACCAATCAAAACCCACAACACGAATCAAGTAGTAGCCAATCAAATTATTCACTCTTCAACCAATACAACATCGAATTAGTGTATGAGACTGTAATTAGTGCGATATCGGACGATTTTACATACAAAAGTCAGGGCAAAGAATCGATCGATGATAGATTAAAGAATCAGCACAAAAGTCCAAATTTGGGTAAAAGGACAATATATATAGTGGTTTCGAGACCCGAATCGAATCTCGCGGCCGAATCAAATCACAAATCGACGCGATTGGCTGATCCAATTTTGAGTGGATTTGATTGGCTCTTAAAGAAAGGACAAGTATATTCAACCAATCAGAACTCCTGCGTGATTATTCAATATTGAATTGACAAACCACGCGAATTCACAATATATATATATATCCATGACGAATGAGTTGGCTGTACCGGTCGGGGGCTAGGGAGAGGATGATTTCGCTCTTGGTGGCGTCCCACACATGCACGTCGCCCTTGTCTGTGGTCGCTGCCGCCTGGAGGAACGATCCATCGCTCAGGTCGACTTTGACGAGCGAAATTTTGTGCGCCTGGCCGCTGGACCGTGTGCGCAGGAACGGCGTGAGGGTCAGGTGACTGCGCAGCGCCAGCGTCGTCGTGGGCGGGATGATCAGCAGGCGGGGGTTACTCGGCGGTGGGGATGAAGAAGACTTGGACACCCATACGGCCAGATCCCATACTTTGACGGTGCCGTCCAGCGTCCCAATTGCGAGCGCCGTCGCGCACACGTCAAAACATGAGGCCGACGCCAGCGCAATCGTGCCGCACAACGCCAAGTCATGTAACCGCCACAGGTAGAAGAACCCGCCGTCGACGGTGATTCCCCCAGACAACACCTAAACATGCAAGAGTCATGAGTAATGACGCGAGCAAGAGGATGGGACGTGTGTACATGGGACGCTCCTGTGGTGCCGTCGACACCCCCCTCGATGAGCTTGACCGTATGAAACGCATGGTTCTTGACCAAGTCGCTGGACTGATCGCCTTTCGCCTTGGAATCGTCTCGTAGCAGCACGTCTGGCAGTTGAAGCAGCCGCGGCGCATCGTCCATTCTCCTGTGTTCGTAGTACAAGCCCTTGAGCTCGTCAATGTAGTCTTTGATCGTGGATCGGTCGCTCAACAAGCACCCACGGATTGTGGGAGGGGACCCTCGTCGGTTCACATTGCTATATATCGAAAGCAACCACAACGTAAATCCAAGGAGTGGCATGATGGAAGGACGTACGGCGACGGAACGTCCATTTCTGTGTAAATGTACGAGGCAGCTCGTCTAAAACATGTGGCGAGGATGGGACCTTTCGGTGTCTGCGCGAGCTCTTCCCACACTGCCGGCCGCATCAACGCCTTTGTCCACATCGAGTTTACATACACTACGCACCACAGGATCATTATCAAGGAGCCATACAAGGAGGGCGGACGAGAGCAGCGACGTACCCATCGACATGGCGTCTTGTCGAGGCAAGAAGCTGATGGTGTTCGCCAAGAGCGCTGCATCTGCCAGCACATCCTCCATGCTGCAGTTCGAAGACGGGGCGACAAGGTAACAACTGTAACACATTATACTGTCATATTGAATAAATCGCCATAAAAACAATGCCCGACTGTGTAAAGCCCATACTATTAAATCTGATACAATGTAAAAACAGTAATATTATATGTGAAAGGTTTGATACATACATGCATTCATAAGGGATACCAATACGCACAGGATGACACTTTCAACAACACCAGATGAAGTACGAGTGTGCCCGCGTCTTGCGTGGCCATGACGGTCCTGTGTTCGCCGTGCGATTCAACGGTACTTGTTCATACCTGCTGCGCCATTGTAACACGCTGACAATGATGTCATGCCACTTGTAGAGAAGGGGACATACTGCATGAGCTGCGGCAGCGACCGCACGATTCGACTCTGGAATCCGCATCGTGAAGGCACAGACGGTCCGACGTCAGCCTTGATGATCAAGACATACAAAGGACTCCACGGCTATGAGATTCGTGATGTCGCCATGTACGTGCATGTCCACATGTCGTGTCCACATGGTTATCCCATGCGTGTCCTGTAGCGAGAACGACAATTCCAAGTTCGTCTCGTGCGGCCGCGACAAAGCCGTGTTTCAATGGGACGTGGCTTCCGGCAAAACCATCCGAAAGTTCGAAGGACACGTGAGCGTACGTACATCTATCCCTCATGTTGCGATCTCTGACGTGACTGACATGGTTGCAGAGCGTGAACGCAGTCACGTACAACGACGACTGCTCGGTGCTCGCAACGGCATCCTACGACAGCACCGTGCGCCTCTGGGACGTCAGGTACTTCATCATGTTGCCCGACGACAGGAGTCGACTGCATGATTGCTGTAGAGCTCGAAATTCCTTTGTTCCCATCCAAACCCTGGACGACTTCACAGACAGCGTCACGTCCGTGCTCGTAACTGACCACGAAATCGTCGCAAGGTCATACACCGCGTTGTCATGCTTCACCGCTCATCCTTTCCCATGATGCTTTAGTTGCGTCGACGGGTTTGTACGGACATACGACCTCCGCGCCGGCCTGCTCACTGAGGACAACCTCCATCGTACAGCGTCCTCTCTTTCTCCGATGGAGGCTCACTTGGTATCCTAGACCCCGTGACCAGCTTGGCCATGACGTCCGACCTGAACTGCATCGTCGCATCCACAACAAAAGGGCACATTCGGCTGTTTGAATCCAAATCTGGCGTCGAACTCAACGCGTACTAGGTTTACTCGTTGCTCCACAAGTTGCTCACAAACATGATAGGTTCCAAGGCCATGTGGTTGGGGACTATGGGTTGGATTGTGCGTTCTCCCACGACGACGCCAGCGTCCTCAGCGGCTCGGAGGACGGCCGCGTGATGGTGTGGGATATGCTCACCAAGGACCCGCGGCGATCTTTCCAAGCCCATGACCGCGCCGTTCGGACCGTCGCTACCCATCCCACCGACGCCATGGTGCTCACAGGGTCGGTAGACAGCACCGTCAAAGTATGGGTACCTGCCGCCCCTTAACAATACATGGACCATGAAGTACTCGAGAATGAGTGAATCCAACACGTACCTAGCTAGCTACGACCAGGCAGACAATCGATACACGACCAATCAAAACCCAGAACACTAATTACGTAGCCAATCAAATCCACTCTTCGACCACATATTACTACTATAGTTACACTTGTGTAACTAGTAATAGCGAAAGAGGAAGATCATGTCCTTGTAAACGTGTGGTGGCAACCAACTCGATACAAGAACCTAGTATTTGTTACGACAGTGTATAGCGCAACCCGGCAATGGTCATGAGCAGTTCGTTGGCGGACTTCTTCGTGTCTTGTTCGGTCGAGAACAGCGACGCGTAGACAGGGTTCCGCCCCTTCTCCTGGCTCACGGCTTCTTCGGCTTGGTTGACAGTCTGGACCTTGCTCTTGGCTTTCTTTGCAGCACTCTCGTCTAATGCGAGCGGTGCCGTGTCCAAGTCGCGCTTCCGCTTCAGAGGCTTCTCGGACTTGCGGATGGACGCCAGGACGACGGCGGCGTCTTCGTCGGACAAGAGCAGCGGCCACAGCTCCTTGGACGATTTGATGGGAAACCCGCACATGAGGCAGTCCTTGGGCTTCACTTCCTTCAGCGCCTTTTCAGACAACACGCATCCGCACTTCTTGAGTAAGACGAAGCGATGGGCGCCGTTGAACAGCTGCAGCGTGATGGGGCAATGGAAACGGAACCGGTTCGTCGCGCGCTTCATGTTGCTATTCTCCGTCGCGGATTTCGCTTCCGGGGCGGGGTAGAACTTGCACGTCACCACGTCCTTCATCGATCGAATGTAGTCAAACTTTTCTGGCAGCGAACGATCCAGCAGCTTCTCGATGAGGCGGTCCTTGTTGAAGAGATTGCCCAACTTACATGCGACGATCGGTTCCTGCAGCGGTTCGTCCGTCAACGCACACATCGTCGTACGTTTCTCACGCAGAGCATCCTGATCTCCTTTCTCGTCGCGCTGTTTCTGATGGCCATGGCGCATGTACTTGCGGGCCACCGCAATCACTCCACCATCGTTTCCCATGACACTACCTTTGTCGGGTCCGCGTCCCACCGTAATTTCCGGACTATCCGGATAAAGCGACGATTATGCTAGGGTTTTTCAACCTGCAAATGCCTTATACTATAAGATATGTACAGACAACGAGGGAATTTAAGGCTCATCGAAGTTTTGAGTGTCACACACTTTTTTCAGCCAATCAGCAGCAAATCACGAAATACTTAAATTTCTATTGGTGAATTTTTATAATATGTTTCGAATTTCGAACTACGCTATCCAGTCATATCGTGAAATTTGCGCTACACACAGAACTTCGATGAGCCTTAAATTCCCTCGTTGTCTGTAATACCCTAAATCATATGCTACTAGTTTCGTTAGTATTACTACTACAGTAGTATTCATACTATTGTAGGGGCCTTTTGGGATGATACCAGGGTCATACAAACTGTAATATAAATATGAAATATTGGGAATTTGACAGTTTCGAAAATAGTCGTATTGTAGGGGCCTTTTGGGAAGATGCATCAGACAGGTCATTGTAACTTCTTTATTACTGAAGCAATTTCAACGCCTCTTTCGAATAATATTTCTTCAGACTACACTTGAAATGGGTTGCATTGACGTGATGAATAGCCAGGGTCACCGTCGCCTTCTAAATTTGCTTGGAAGATTTGTCGATGGAAATCAACACCCAAAATGTGTTAGTAGGTGCTAGTATCTACTAAAACATCTGATTCCGCTTCACTGATTGGCTATAATTACCATTAACATATCATTTTATTGGATGACTAAAGTTCATGGAATCATCAAGCGACTTGCCCAAGGCAGGAACTTCTCCATCGATCGACCCACATCGTTCTCCACCATCTACTCCGCACAACACAGTATATAATCCTTCATATAAGCCCTTGTGTGTTATACGTCTTATTTGAGTGAAGAAAGTGAACGTTTTAATGACAAAAGGAGCCTCAGTAGCTGTAAGTCCGTGCCATTTTGTCAATATTTCATGCATTTTTTGCCCAAAATTGGCGTAAATCAGTTCAAATTGATGATATGATCATGATCTTTCTATTAATATTAATAGTATTAATACTATTAATAGTACAGTAGTGTATCCTTGCTCATCCGACGGCGGCTTTTCCGACGTTTTGAGGATGGATAGTAAGTATTTCTTCTCCCAAGCAGTAGTATTTTACTTTCAAACTAACGATGCACGTGTCTACTGATCCAAGTGCACAATGGCGCGAATGCAGTCGCCGCTGTGCATGGCGTGGAACGCTTGGTTGATTTCGGCGAGGGCAAAGTGGTGGGTCACAAACTCGTCCACTTTGACTTCGTGCTTGAGGTACTGCTCCACGAGGGCGGGCACGCCGTCGCGGCTCTTGAACCCACCAAAGGCCGACCCAGCCCAGCGGCGTCCCGTGACCAGCTGGAACGGCCGCGTCGCAATCTCGACGCCACTCGCGGCGACCCCAATGACACAACTCTGGCCCCATCCCTTGTGACAGCACTCCAACGCCGCGCGCATCGTGTCCGCCAACCCAATGCACTCGAACGTGTAGTCCAGCCCGCCAAACCCGTCTTCCACCGTCAAGTCCACCAACACCTGCTGAATAGGCGCCGCGTGGTCCTTCGGGTTGACGCATTCCGTGGCACCGAACTCCTTGGCAATCGCAAACTTCTTCGGGTTGATGTCCACCCCAATGATGCGACGCGCGCCGGCCGCCTTGCATCCCATGATCACCGCCAACCCCACCGCGCCTAGACCAAACACCGCCACCGTCGAGTCCGGCTCGACTTGCATCGTGTTGAGCGCCGCGCCGTATCCAGTCGTGATCCCGCAGCCCAGCAAGCACACCTTGTCCAACGGCGCCGCCTTGTTGATCTTGGCAACGGAGATCTCTGGCAATACAGTGTACTCGGAGAACGTCGACGTTCCCATGAAGTGGAAAATGGTCTCGCCATTGCGCTTGCACGTGAAGCGAGACGTGCCGTTAGGCATCAACCCGCGTCCTTGGGTGGATCGAATCACAGAGCACAAGTTGGTCTTGTTGGACTTGCTACATGAGACTATCTATCAGACCTCACTCAAGTCAACGCACTTTCGTACCAGAATTTGCAATTGCGGCATTGTGGCGTGTAGCACGGGATCACGTGATCCCCCACTTGGACAGACGTGACGTTGGCCCCAATGCTTTCCACCACACCCGCGCCTTCGTGGCCCATGATGCACGGGAACAAGCCTTCGGGATCTTGCCCCGATCGAGTGTACTCGTCGGTGTGGCACACTCCCGTCGCCAGGATCTTAATGCGCACTTCACCTTCTGCAGGTGGCCCGACAATGACGTCTTCCACGACAAAGTCTTGCTTCGCTCCCCAGCAAATCGCGGCTTTGCATGTAATCGGTTGCGGTGGTGCCGTCGTCATTGGTTTGGATGGTAAAATCAAGTGTGGACTGTTCTCTGACATTCATCCTCTGCCGCTCGTTATCCGGACTATCCATCAGTATCCGAAAGGCAAGTCGCTTGAAATCAATATGAACCTAACGGACGCTATGAACCCCTTGGTATGGAGGAGTAGCGCCACCTCAATGCACATTCCATCCGCTCTACCGGTAGCCAAGATTTGCTACCGGTAACTTACATAGTGACCTGCCTTTGGCAGGGCGTAGATTTGTCTATCAAGAGCCCATGATGATGCATCGTCAGTATCTACAGTGCCTAGTAACGTTAGTTGGCCACCTAAGTCATGCAGTGCAGCAGTACACTATGCTTTGCGGACGAAAAGGCGAAAAGGTGTGGCTGTGGTGTGTTGTCGAGGGTTCGTTCAGAGTACGTACACACCACTTCAATGATTCGAGGACCATGCGGATGGGAAAACTTGAGCCTCAACGACTTGAGGCACGGTCCACACGCCTTTGGTCCATATGTCCACGGGACTCAAAGCCACACAACATTGCAACAAGTATACTAGTATATTCTTGCTGCGACCATCCATGTCCAGTAGCCATGTCAGAGGAAATGTGAACAAAAGTTAGACACCAAACTACAGTATGTAATCATTCAAATCAAATACCAAGGTGCCAATCAAATACTAGTACGAATGTTCTATGGCTATTATTATCATGGTGATATTGCAACTTGAGGCCTCAACGTGCGAGGCTGTTGAAAACTTGCTAAGTTGGCATTGGCTTGATCACATAGCCCCCCCAGTTGTGAGCTCTCCTTGTCCCCCATCTCTGGCTCATTTCCTTGGTCAAAAGCACTCAGAAAAAGAAACGCAGTTATCCTTGGAGCATTTGAATGCTACTGTAAGCTCGGTGCCCCAAGGGCGGACACATTCCCATGATAGGTGCGGTGAACATACTTGAAATCATGACGAGTCTCTGGGGTTCTACGAGTGTAACTACCGACTAATAACAATGAGTGCAGTGATGGCAAGCAAGCAAGCCACCACCAAGATCCCTAATACAGTAGTGAATCCACGACCTTGAGGTGTCCCACCCCTCATGCTTCGAAATACGATCACATGGATCGTGACCAGATCGTACGTGGCCTTGAGATTAGGTCGGCTGCTTTTATTAGGCTTGTAAATAGGACTCTGAAGCACCTGGCCTCCTCGACCGCAATCGTTTTGTACTAGTACAACATCTCCCACAAGCTTCATGACGCAGTACATTGATGCGTGGAGTGCCGACGGACGACGGTAGGTTCATTGATACAGATTTGGCAGGGATAAAAATAGCCATATTGCAAGTCCAAATAGATGTAGCCATTTGCGTTATACTACGTAGTAGCGTTAAACTCGACCTTGCCCAAAACAACGAGCGCGGTTCCATGAGATATAACGTAAAACGTACATGTTTAACGCAAAACGTGATTTGCAGTCAGTTTAGAACTTCGAAAGGCGAAGCATTACATAGGTCCTCGTCGAAACCTCGGTGCAGTACAGCGACAGCAGAAGGCACTAGCGTTGGCATCTGGCAACTTTAGTCGTTTTCCCTCTTCCACTTCGTTGAATCGTCGGCGACGACCATCGACGACGCAAACGAGGGCATGTCCTACGATCATGTTGATCCGCAGCAGAACCTCCATGCCATGACCGCGTATGGTGGCAGCTTTCAGCAACAATACGACACCCTGAGCTTGGACATTCCGTCACCATTCGACCCGCATCTCCCGCATCACCACCACCACCAGCGCAACCAACAGTCAGGAAATCACTTGTCTCCTTCTTCAGTCCACAGCAGCAGCATGCAACATCCACACACCATGCATTCCCATCACAGCCAAGCGCACCATCAGCAGCAGCAATCGTATGCGTCATTTCAGCCGCCCAACAACAATCCGTTCACGTCCATGTCCGTCAAACGAAAGTCTCCCATGTACCAAGACACGGACGAGTCTTCTCCCACTTCGTATGCGTTCGTCCACGCCGCGGGCGCGTCGTCCCACAACCCGCGCCCATCCCCTACTGCCTCGCTACGTCAAAGCCAACCATCGACGATGTCTCCGCTCGCATCTTCGTCGATCGTGTGCGACCTTTGCAAGCACTTGGACCCGATCTTGTACATTCCAGAATGCGGCCACACATTTCACTCGCGATGTGTGGGCGAGTGGCCCATGGTGACGTGTCCGACGTGCCGCGGCAGCGTGCCCAAGGTGGCCGTCGTCCACGTCGACATGCACACCAAGGCGGCGCCGCGGAGCGGCAAGTGGACCAAGCAAGAAGAGAAGTTCGTGACGCTGATCGTGGACGAGTTCGACCACGGCACGTTTCCCCTCGCGAACGGCACGCCCGTGCGACTGGTGCTGGCCAAGCTGCTCAACTGCTCGCCCATGCGGTTGTCCAAGAAGTTCCAGAAGAACGCGCTAGGCAAGCGTACATACCGCGTGCCAAAGTCGAGCCACGCCGCGCCGAACGGGTCGCGCATTTGCTTTGACGCTGCGACGCACCAAGCCCGGCAGATCGAGTTTTCCGCCTCCGAGCATGCGTTCCGAGAGGAGGTGGTGCTGCTGCAGCGAAAAGACAACAAGATGGACGGACACATCGAAGTGCGCGACCTCCGCCTCGCCGTGGTGCAGTTTTGGGTGTCGAATTTCTTAAAGTTTGCGCTGTCTGTGGGCCAGCAAGTCGACGGGTTGGACACGACTGAGCCTAAGAAGAAGAAGCAAGCGATGCAAAAGCTGCGCGACGGCATGTTTGATCAAGTGCTGTCGTGGGCCGCGGCGGCGGCATCGGACAAAACTCGAACCGACGACGGCGACCAGGCGGCGGGCACGTCGCGGCAGCTGCACCCGCCCGTCCATCCCCCCCCGCTGCACCCGCACCCGCTCGTCCAATGGGACGAAGCGTACTTCAAAAGCGAACCGCTCAAGGCGGCCAGCTCGTTCGACTCCCTCGACAACCACGAAAACTACCCCGACCAACAACCCGACTATGGTGATGACGAGGAGGCAGTGCCGTTCCAACCGCACCAGTACAAACAACTGTCGCACCTCCAGCAAACACCATCTCATCACCACCAACCAACCCATGCCATGCAACGACACCACCACCACACCATAGCGCCCCCATCGTTTGGCCGCGACGATGGTGGCATTGCGTATGGAAGCGGGTACGGTAGTTCGTACAAACGACCGACGATGGTGCGAGACCCTCCGACTAGTCATCGCACGGCGCTGACCCCAAAGGTGTCGCTGCGGGGAGGGGGAGGCCAGGCTACTACTAGTACTACTAGTAGGACTAATAGTGGCCCCCTGCGACCACAACAGCTACAACCAACGAATAGCAGCAGCACCTACTTGACAACCAATGCGTCCTACGATTCGGTTGATTCGACCAACTCCTCGAGTGCCGAGCTGGATGGTCTGTTGATGTCCACCAACCACACCTCGTCACACCTGCGACCGCATCAACCATCGCCTGCGACAACGTACGATGCTATGGACGCCATACCCACCAATTCGTCCTGGGACCAGATGCTCGATGATTTCACCGGCATCAACTCCCAACTCGTGGTGGACCCAGCGCTGAATGGCGCCTCGTGGTTATAGGCCTGAACCCTCCTCACACACATACTTAAGATATTATTAACGACGACGACGATTTGAACTGGTAGCAACTTTTACAGCAAGTTTTCGATGGGGGCGTTTTCATTTGCTTGGGCAATATTATTCGACGACGATTACACGATTGCATTGCATGACATTGAAGTTGGCTGGTATGAGTTTTGATTGTCGCAAAGAGTGCATACAACGAGTGGGAAAAATACAAATAAAACGTCCAGGTTACGTTACGTTATTGCTATAAACGTAGCTAACTACGCCGAAGTCGCACACTGAGGTCGCGCACGGAGGCTCGGGCTGCTAGGAGCTGTCGTCAAGTAGCTTGTGATGGCATCAATGATTCGTCCAAATGTCGACTTCGGGGCAGGAGTCTCGTTGTGGGTTGGGGCGGTTGTGAACGTAGCGTACACGTCCGGCATGTTATGATCCGCAGCAAGCTCAATACCATTCACGTCGTATGACACAACAGCAGTAGCCGCTTCAGCAATGATTCCTTCAACCTTGGAAATCGCAGACGACGACAAGCCAGCGTCCGCCGCAGCATCCGAAGGAGAGGCACCGGCATCCACTGACGCAGCGACATCCGCCACTTGTTCAGGCGAGGCACCCGCATCGGCGGCCGCCGCAGCAGCCACGTCGGCAGCAGGCGCATGGTTATCGGCCGAGTCTTCCACTTGGGTTTCCACAGCAGCAGCGGCGGCAGGCGACAAACCCGCATCCACAGCAGCGTCCGAAGGCGACGCGCCAGCATCCACGGCAGTCACAATGTCCGCCACTTGTTCGGCAGACGCGCCTGCGTCAATGGCAGCAGC